TAGTTGTGTCATATTAATATAAAGGATATAAAGTGTGTCATCAGTGTGTGTACTGTGTCGCTGACAAATCTGATTTGAGATGAATAATAGCACCTGCAGAAGGTCCACAGTGAGGTCAGACAATATAACATCAGTCTTACTTGCCTGATCATTATCCTCTACATTGCCATTTGTACACTACTTTAATTGTAAAGTTAATTCTAAATAATATGTTGAGAAATCATACCTGCCCACATCCAGGGGCAGTGCATACAAAAGGTCGATCGTCCCCCATCTCAGATAAATGTTCTGCAAAAGAGAGCAAAAAGGGAGCAAATTGTTATCTACCTCATTCATTAATGCATGGAGGCTATCAAACAGCTGACAACTCCAAGTTACAATATATTATCAAACTGGTTGATTGCTGATGAATGTTTCAATGGTGAAACTACTTGATTAATCTATACCAGCTTTAGAGCATTGACAACGTTAATCTAGAAGCAAGTGGCTGACCACTTGCTTTCATGTAACTGTGTCCTGCTAATGTATTAACCTGCAGCATCGGTCTACCTGACATGAATGACATGCACCTGTTGAGAACTACAATCTGTGTTTACGCCATTAAATGCACGAGCTCACTGGACACCAAAAACATGAGCACATAAATCGTACTGACAACTCATCAGGAGGTAAACAGGCCGACAATCTTCGGCCTGTTTGAAGCATTTGCTTTAGGCTCTGTCGAGGATCATCGGGGACTAGCGTTCAACGATGAAGCAACAGAGCCAGAGCAAGCTATCACACAATCTGCCTCCAGTGTCATTAAGTCAGTGGCGTTAGCTGGCGATCACTGTCGAGGTCGTTCGGCTATGTGGCTAGCTAGGTGGCTTAGGTTACGGACTTAAGGATAGGTTAACCTAAAGTGCCGATTCTTTGGCTAGTCCGGACTTTATGAGAGATGGGCCTCAAACTAGCATAACCTTATCGCTAGCCACGCCAAAACATTTTGTTTCCGTAATCTGACAGCAGTGTCATTATAACGAACGTGGAGGCTAGCGTACTGTAAACTAATTACGGATAACGGACGGTCTGATACGTCTCGCAAAGCGATTTTTTTGTGTATCTGCCAGTCACAACACAACTAGCTAAGCTAATGCTAACTGCTAATCGAAGCTTCGTTAGCTTACCTTGTGGGTTCACACTAACAGGTCCGCCAAGTTAGCAGCTAAACGTTAGCTCGCTAATGCTAAAGAAGCTGTGCTCGTAAACGTAGCTACGGCTGTATCATAAATCACATGCTTAATGAATATTGACTGTACATAATTTTGCGAAACATCAAACTTTGCGTTAGGTGATCCGAAAAGCGCACTAACTCACCCGACATTAAAGCAGCCTCTACACTCCCCCCTCCCTGCTCCGGACAGCGCCGCTGTGCTGCTGCTGCCTGCCCGTTGTTGACACTCTGACACTTCCATTAGTCAAACACCGCGAGAACTGCAAGTTGGCAGAGTATTACGTAACAGGAACGACAACATGATGTAGAGTCCAGATCCTTTTTTTGCCTCAAATATTTTATTATTCAAAACATTTTTCATTTCATCTTATTAAAAGTATTAAACAATCAATCAAAACTTCAAGATACATAGTACAGAGGATATGGGCAATACATACAAAATAAAAATAAAATAAAATAAGATGCAACACATGAAAGGACAATGAAATAAAAACATTCTACGTATGTAAAGGTATTATGCAGAGTCCAGTTCATGGATGATCCACATGCTGCAGGGATGATGTATTTTTGAAGGCCAAGTTAGCATCATTCTGGTTCCCTCCATAAAGAGCTCATGGCATTTTCCATTGGCTTTTGGATTGTTGCAGAAAATAAGCTCTGTGACAAAACGCACTTTATGATACTTACATATTTTGTTCAGCAACATGATCTTCACAACTTAACACCACTTTTATTATTTTTGAAGCGTAAATACAATCGCCACAGATAAAAAGCTAACGTTAGGCTATAAATGAACTACACCACAATCACATGACTTCAACATCACCAAGCTTCGACTTGCAGTTTGATTTAGGAAATTATGTTACTGTCCCATCATCTCATTGTTTTTGGTCTTACCTATTTGGTGATATACAGTGGGAAAAGCATGGAAAATGTGTGTTAAGTACTGTATTCATAACAAATGTAATGTATGTATTTCAAGAAATTGCATAGAATTTATTCAGTTAAACATGTGAAAGATACAAACTGGAAATTGATTATAAGTGTGATTTTTGTGGTCTAGAAAAAGAGAGTATTTCCCATCTATTTTTCACTGTTGTTCTGGATTGATGTAGCCAACTTTCTAAAAAAAAAAAACTAAAATTGAATATTGAAATGGTTGTTTGATGAAGTGCTATATTTTTGTCAAGATAAGATTGAAAACATGTTGTATATAATACAACTTTTTATTATTTTTTGGAAAATTCCATATTCATAAGACAAAATAGTCAAGAACCAAGCCAAATTTCCTGCACTTTATTAATGAATTTAAAAAATATATAGCAAAACTTTATCTGATGTTGAAAAATGATATGCTGCATATAACACAAACAATTGCTTTGTAACATGTAAATTGTGATTTTTTTTTATTTTTTTGGTTGTCATTGTCTTTTCTGTTATTGTTTTATCATCTATGTATGTGTTTGTGCCTTTGTGTATGAACTTGTGTACAATAAAGAAAGTGGAAACACTTTCTTTAATGTACACAAGTTCGTGTAAGTTTGATTAACGGATTTGGCACGCTTGCCTCTTCTACAAAGGCATTTGATCTTAGAAAGTTGCCGTTAGGTGGCAGTAGTGTAAGTAGGACTAATGCAACATCGTGGCTGCCAACTGCCGTAAAACATGAAAGAAGAAGTAACCAACGATCCTCCATTGCAAGAGCACGAGTATAAACCACAGAAGGCTTGATGGTGGGTAGATCAGTTTTAATGTTCGGCGTGATGACGTTTACCGTCGCGGCAGGTTCCATATAAATATCTGTCAACAACTCTGCCCATGTCTGTCAGTTATGCTAGGAATATAGAGGAAAATCTACAGATCACACATCTGAAGTGTGTGCTGAACACATTCACTGTATATTAAACTGCAATTGCATCAGGTGTAATAATGCATAGTGTTGTGTAAACATACACATAAGTATGAGACAAATATAAGACAGGAATGTTTAAAAATAAATCTTTATTTTCATACATCAGGCTCAGTAATAAAATATTCACTTGATAAACCAGTGTGTACTTGGCTGAAAATTGCAATACCATGTTTGATTGTGACAGTTATAAGCAGGATTCTGATATAAGACTGACATTGCATTGACAAGCTAACATAATTGAAACTTTATCATACACACCTAGCAATGGACAAACAAGCATGCACATACACATTTAGCTCCACTCCTGCCAACTGCAGCTACAATAAACTGAGATTTACATTGGACAGGATCTAGTGTCTCCAAGTGTCATAAACTGACCATGTTGGATTTTGATAACCAACTAAACCAGCCTTGATCAGTGTAACTGATGTGCTCAAAATTCTCGCACTTTTTATATCGAAATGAAACACTGTTAAGGCACTGGAGGTTTGGTTTGAGATAACAGTTCCATGTAGTCTGAACCAGAAGCAATCTCTCTCTCTCTCTCTCTCTCTCTCAATATACTGTACACTGCAGTAAATTCTCTATAAGCAGACGACTCTAATCACTTATCTAAGGCAAATTTTTTTTATTCCCCTATACCTGAAAATCTTTAATACTTAACTGTCAATCATCTTTTGTTCTTTTCCATTTGCAACACCACAGACTATTCAGATGGAATGAAAACACATATAGTATAAGTAAAGAATAAGTTCAGCATTTCTGTGCAACATCTTTCCATTTGTTACTTCTGTAATAATTCAAAGCCTTGAGATCAAAGCATACTGCATTTCCATTCACACCACTGCAAGTATGTTCTGCTCATTGTTGACCCATGAGCCCTGACTGTATAGCTCAGCGATTCAACTCAGCTGTCAATAACCAAGCATATTTTCTCAGATAAGTCTACATAACAATTTCCAAATGTTATAGAGATACAGGATAACATGAAAAGAAAAACATTAAAATTGGATAGAAAATGAAACGTCTTCTACAGCAGGAAAACAAATACATTAACAAGGCAGATCAAAAATAACCCTGTATACACACACACACACACACACACACACTCAAGAAAGCTAATACATATAGACATTTACAAAATGAAGCTCAAATGTGGTTTTACATCAACATCATCAAGACTACATTCATCTGAAGCCATCAAAACAGATGATGCAGGCAATGTAACCAAATCAAGAGGAGACACTGGCCACAGCATCAACCATCAAAAAGCTACTTAAAATCAACGTGACAAATTTCTATTGAAAAAAAAAAAAAAAAAAGGGTCCAACAGACCATTATGTTTTGACAGTTCACATGCAGATGTTAGTCACCGATGACTCTTGAACATCTACTATCCTCTAAAAATGTAACCGAAACTGCAAAATACAGAACTATCCATTCCTTATGTTACCATGATTAGCAGGTCTGGAACAGGTAAGCTGTGCACCATAAGTTACCATGGTGAACTAGTTTACTGCATCAATTTTTAACTGGTCCCAGTTAAGAGTGTTTGAGAAAAGCAAGGACTGGAACCAAAGTTGGCAGGCTAACACATTAATCTTGCTCTGTAAGAGACAGCAGCGTTACTGCCATCTGATAAAACATGGAGACCGTCTTACTGCTCCTGCTTACATGGAATAATCCTAAGAAACTCATACACGGATTTACACAAGAGTTAACTCACTGATTCAATCATGCAAAAATGACATAGGCAAATCTTCTCCAGATATACTATAGTGCTTATTTCAAATGTTAGCAGTAGTGATCTAATATCTGTATCACTGACAACTACTGCACAAAGCATTCAAGGACTATAATCATTACATGACGCAATGTTTTGAATCAATGTAATTTAGTATTTCACCAGTTTATAGAGCAAGATTTCACAATCATGAGAATTTCTTCAAACACTGCTACGCATCAAAATTTAAACCCTCTGTAGTGAATCACACACCCCACTGCTTCTATTATTCTATCGTGGACGCAACATCCTCCATTTCATAAATAATCATACTGTATATCCAAAGCAAATTTGATGAAAAGCTTAAGATGAATCACATGCAAACAATAACCACTCAGACAGAAATCAGATATGCCTTATTGTCATTTTGCATTTGACAAAGCGTATTAAATGTTAGAACACCATATATTTTAAAGGATACTATATCACTCGTTCTTGCTCTCAAACACACACACGCACAAGGTTTAGCCTGTTTATGGTGATATTACTTTAAGTATGTTTTATCACCCCAAGAATCTGCATTTCTGTCAGCAGACTATATGCATTTTCCTAAAAGGAATATCTACTTATGAGTCTTCAAATAATTTCAGGTCTCCAACAATGCTTAGAGATTCTTTGACAGTCTGTCAAATGAAATATATTCATCTCTCTATTTACATATATTATATATTTACATATATATTTGTTTTATTTCTGTTTTAGTTAATGTTTAAAAGATTTTTCTTTAGTTACTTTGGTGACCTTGGGGGAATGTTCTGTTCCTTGCCACTGCGTCTGGCGCCCCGCTGTGGAGAAAACTGTTTGCCAGCATTCAGGCCTCTCTGATGCTCCCGAATCTTTAGCCCTGCACCTCCAACTCTGGCTTGGCCATTCGACCCTCTGAAGGAGCGTAATGGTTGACGAGGTGGCCTGCTGTCTCCAGCTTTCTCCGATTTGTCTGTTGTGCGCCTGGAGTTGGGCAAAGGTTCTTCAACCCTGTTGACCTTGAGCTCTTGCAGGGGCTGGCTAGCTGAGGGGGCAGGAGGGGAGGGAGAGGGCGGCTGTGCTGGTGGCGGGTCCTTGGCCATCTTCTGGCACACCTCTGCATAGCTGAGCTTTCTAGGCCCCTGGTAAGAGAAAAACAGATGAGAAATTTAAAACAAAATCACCAAATAAATAATAAATAAAATAAAATAAATAACAAAATCATAAAATAAACGTTCAAGAAGGACAAGTTGGACAAACACAAATGTAATGCCCACTTGAAAACCCAAACAATCCAAAATATCGAAATACCCCGTAAATACTCCACCATTAACACACTGACCACAAAGATCAATGGCAAATAAGTGGATTAAACTTCATTGGTAATTTAGCAGGAAATTAGCAGAGAAGTTTCTATATGTTGGCCCTGTTTGCCTCTAAGACACAACTAGAATCCATTTAAACTTCTGTGAATCCAAGCTAACTACAGCTCTCATTATACATTATCCAAATAGGAACAAGCTACAAACTTTTCAGAGTCACTGGTTAAACCTACAGGAAATGTATGTTTGATACTTAGATTTGATATTTGATATTCTTTAAATTTCATACAAGTATGATTTTGATACTAATGTGGTTCCATATAACCGCTGACAACACATAAAAGCGCAGACTATGGTGGGCTTAAAATGACTTCATTAAGCTTATGCTGCAGAGAGCTAATGCGGTATTCAGGATGAGGAAAGCAGGCCTTACTAGATCTGATGTTGGAGTTGGGGGAGATGGAGAAGGTGCTTCTGTGGAGACAGACTGGCTGCAGGTGGAGGGGGCATGTTCTGATGCTGCTGCAGAAACAGACTGTGTTGACAAGGACCTTGTTTCTTCTGGAATGGTATGTTCAGCTTTATCCTCTTCCTTTACTGAAGGAGAAACACTGAAAAGACAAAGTAAAAGATGTAATTTTTCACGTGTATGTCCTTGTGATTCACAGACATTTTATTAGTTCTTAAACTGTACCTTGAGGTGGGTGCCACCGTTTGTGGTGTCACAGGAGTAGGTTTAACAGCAGGGGCCACAGAATCTGGTACGCTCACAGGATCTTCTGAGATGGTTGTGTTTCGGGTCTCAGTAACTTCTTGGCTCACAGACTGAAATAATTGAGAATTCAAAATATAATGTGCATGTATACAACTGTAACTTAAATGCTGCTTTCAAGAATCTCAAGAGTAGAACATTTTAAAGAGGGCAAGACTTACCTTGTTGGTCACCTTTAGGCCACGTACAACATCAGAGAGGCGCATCTCTGGCGTGGTTTCTCCCCGCATACTGACCACAGATCCCGGTAAAGGAGGAAAATTGGAAGCTGCCAGGTCAAACTTCGGTGGAGGTGATACCTTGGCCTCCATCAAAGGGATAGGACGCTGCAAATTTTTATTTTTAGTTCAGTAAAAGTCAAGCTTAAGATAAGAAAAGATCCTGAACGCAACTTGAAGCCTGCCACATCACATTTAATTAACAGACAACTTTTTTGATAAGGAGGTACCCTCAGGACTTCTGGTCTACAATAACATATACACAAAAACGTAAAACACATTGTTTTGTGGGGAATCACACTTAATTTAAGGAAACAAAAGGAAATATGCTAACCATGGTATGTTCATCTTCTCTTTTCCTCCTCATGCCTCTGTGGCCACCTCTCCTACAATAAAGACAGATCATTTTCATTACATTTATAAATAAGTTACATTTACATGTAAAAACACCACCACAAAGAAAGCAAGTGAACCGACTCTGAAAGCCACAAACATCAGTTTGATTCTTTAGCCATTTTCACTGTGTAAAGTCTACACAATATAGGTGAAAAAAAAAATGTGACAGGAAAAAAAAAGAAAAAATATTCATAGTGAGTACAAACTTGCTTCAATATGCATAAACTGGTGACGTTTTGGTTCTAAAACTTCATTTCTATAGTGTTAATAAGCAGGATATTATTAACTCACCTGCCCCGTCCACCCCCACTCAGATCTCCACTGGATATGGTGGCCTGTAGAGAAGCTTCTTTAAGACTGAAGGAGGGCAAAGAGACTGGCTCTGAAGTGGTGCCACTTGGTGTCCCCGATAACTGGAGGTGGTGTGGAGTCAAAGGACCACACAGGCCATCCATCAGGGCCCCCAGAGCCAAAGAAGAAGGAGGAGAATGAGGGGGCACGTCAACTGGCCTGTGGTGACCCTTCACGTGATTTCTGGACATACACAAAGGACACACAGTTCTTAAATGTCAACTCTACCATAAAATAGCATATTTTGATATTTTGGGATTGTGCAAGTTTCAATTACTCAAACAATAAGGGAGGGTGAACACATTAAGGTGGGGGGGTGCTAAACAGGGTTTCCTCCCAAAAAGTTGCTAGGCAAAGCTGCTGGACATGCTGTTATACACCGGCGGAAACCATAGTTAAAGCATGCAGTAGTTTGATCAGAATGACGTTTTTTCTGCTTATAATAGAATTACGGCCTCGCGGTTGAGTCCAAGTGAATGTTTGTGCCAGGAAGAAATTCCCTCATATTCGATAATGGGGTGGACAGACGGATAACCTGAAAACATAATGCCTCTGGCTCTGGCTGTTGCCAAGCTGAACTCGGCTGTTGTAACCTGTGACTGTATACATTTTGTTCCTAAATGTAATGCATCAACTCTGCGTATATTTTCTTTAAAGAATTAGCTTTTTTTGGATGGAAAATAATTTGCAGACATATTTCTTTCAAACATGTGGCCCAAATTTAAACAAATGCTGACATTTAAAGTACAATTTGAACACCTCAAAAGGTAATAATGACATCAACTTTAGAAGCCTTTAACTTCACCAGCTTTTTATGTGCTAAACTTAATGGCAAGAGCATTTGTGGTTTAAGTGAGAAATCAGAGCCTGTCATATAAGTACATGTCTTTCTGTGATAAAAGGTATATGCTGTGAGAGAAGGAGGCAAATGAATATCTTCATAGACTGAACATTTGCTTCAAATGCTATATACATTTGATCAAAGAAAAAGTTAAGTAAGTTATGTCAACATGACTTGCACTTACCGGTTCCTGCTCATGGGTCGATGGGTGTTGGAGCTTGAGTTTGCTTTGTAGTTCCCAGCGCTGCTGTATCCATTCATGAAGCCACCATTAGGGAATGGTGCCTAGATATCAAAACAGCAGTAGGACATCCAATTACACAATGTTATCCAGAAAAAATCTCTCATACTCTAAACAATACAACTTCATATGGACAGAACTGTCCAGACATGAGCTAGCAGACTTTAACATTAAGTACTGTTATGACGACCTTAGAACATTTCAGTTATGACAGTGTTGAATCTGTTTAGCCTCTGGAAAAATCATAAATCTTGTGTATTTACATGATTGTAAGCAATATTGTAACTCCAGATACTAACCAGTGGTGTTTCAAAGTAAGGCATGACTGAAGGGTTCCAGGAGGGAGACACCACAGGATAAACTGGGTACTGCTGCTGAGGGCTGTACATCTGTTGCATGTAGACAGGGGAACCATACTGGGCCTGTGGTTGGGCATGCTGACTGTACACACTTGAGTCCACACTGCGGAAGCCATTCTTACCAAAGAATGTGTTAATGGCCTTAATGCGGGCCTGTGAGGGAGGGAAGAGGAAGGACAGGAGTGAGTTAGGTATGTTTGTTATTGTTAAAGATGTGATGCCTCCACTGCACCTGTGACAAGGTACACTGTAGCTCTGTATACTGTCCATTAGTCCCCTCAGATCTCATAATCTCACGGTCATTAGGCCATAAAACACTGCTCTGCCTAGGGGAAAGGGGGTAGGGAGAGGGAGATGGGGGGGGAAGGGAAAGTGAAGGAGGATGAGGGAGAGTGGAGGGAAATAGTAGAAGCAGCAGCAGAGATACAGTAGATTTATAGAGAGCTACAGATGAAGAAGTTCCTCCCAGCCAGTCGCAGTGCATATGGGTCCTTCCAAGCGCGATACTGATCATCACTGGGGTTTAGACAGGACCGTTAATATGTCATGGCCTCATTTGTTTTGTCAGGGAAAAAAAACATAGGGCACACAAGGTCAAATCAAAATCCAGCTGAAAAAGGATACATTAGATACCTGAAATAAAAAAAGGTAAATGTCATGTTGTGACAAGAAGGGCAATCAAACTGCCTGGAGATATGGGAGTACAACAGTTCTGACAAACAAGGAGCAGAGACCACCAGATTTCCTCCTTGCTTATTACGTCCCTGTACACACAAATCCCAAGGTCACCCCTCAGGCCACGGCTTAGCTAAACAGGCTAGCCTAGAGAATGGTGACGTAACAGCTGACAACACAACTAGTCTTGTGTAACACATGGCCTCCATACTAGAGTCTAAATTAAAACCATTAATAAGCAGTAATCGAGCCTGATATAAAAACTTCATATACTGAATTAAGTCAATTACATTATGCATTTCATTGACAGAACTCACCATGATTGGTTTTCCCTGGAACATCTTCACTTCTTCTCTTAAGTATCTGTAAGCCTGAGGATAAAAAGAAATGACCCAAACATTCAACGTAAAATCTGCATTGTTCACTTTTAAATCTAGTGAGTAAAAACTTTCCTTCCCTCACTCCCAGATCACCTGTTTAATGTTCAGTGCTTTATAAATGTAAACATGAAATTTGAACATAAGATGAAGCTTCAATAATAAATCACAGAATTTTTCAATTGCATCTACTCTTAAAAGACTACATTTACACAACAAAGTGAACAAACCATTTTAATCACATTTGGTTTAAAATAATAATGGAACCAGAGCAACAGTCATATTTAATGAATACAAAGATAAACAGTGTGGTTACTAATGATGAGACATACCTGTTGTGCATCCATATCTGACTGAAATGTTATGTACCAGTTGCTGTTGTGTGCAAACTCAGCACATAACACTTTTGGACAGTTTTCACTCTTAAAAAGAGCCTCCACCTCCTGAAAAAGACATGCAAAGCACATTTTATGCAGTTGTGCCTGTTTGATCATAGAGTAAAGCAAGCACAATCATGTGGCAGCATCTTATTTGTAGGATTTACTGTACCTCAACTGGTGTAGTCTCTGGCACCTCTCTCAGAATAATGATACAGCGACTGTGATTTGGCCGGACCTTCTCTCCAGTTTCATCAACTTGCACCATGGGAGAGGCTACAACAAAGACACAACCATAAATATTAGTGCTTTCGCCATCTTGAAGTAACTTTAGAGCCCCTCATAGAACTAGTGTGCTGTTGGGGAATATGCCTCTCTTTTGTTTATGTCTGGAATTTCTTAATAACTATAAAATACTGAGTGTGAGTGGAAATTCTACAAATGCTTTCTGTTGATCGGTTTACTAGGTTAAACAATAGACTCATATAGCATATGCTCAGCTTTTTTGGTTTTAAATAATTGCAAAATGATGCTTTCAGTTTTTTATGCTGTCGGTGAAGGTGGTCATATTTTCAGCTGCGACAGCTCCATAACTCCATAATTAACAACTGTGGGAGAGCCAATACTTAAGACATGCATTGTTCACACAAACCTCATTCCATGTATTTAATAAAAAATATTAAGTTATAAGTTAATAAATTCAAAAATTTCATGTGGATTCTGTCAGTAATTTATTTATTTTATTTAACATTTATCTCAAATACAGGAAGAACAGCGGCAAAAGTACCTCGTAGTACATCCAGAATGAGGTCCATGTCAGTGGTGAGGGCTTTGATGTCCTCCATGCAAGCAATGGTCCAGATCGGAACAAACTGATCACTGTCCATCTGGGATATCAGGTACAGGTCCTTGGAGAGGTTCTCCCTGAAAACACCCAAAACGTAAGTCTAGAAAAAGAATAACTCAAAATTTCTTTGCTTTGTGCTTGTACTACCAGTACTGCCACAAATTAATTATTTTGAAGACCCCCATTTCATAACATTAGAACTCTGATGGAAAACAAGATCAAGCATCAACCCTTCTATACATCATTCATGAATTACTTCAGGCTATTCCATTTAAACTCATTGGCCTCCCACCATACAAGGTAATAATCAATGCAATTAGTGTGGGGATGTACTGATTAATTTGGTGCATCAATTAAAAATTCTGCCAATTTGACACAAACATTAGTATCTTATTGTAAGATAATGTTCGAAATACAAATAGCTATAGCCAAGGCAGAAAAGTTTAAGAATCCATGGTTTAGACAATTTTTTGTTTGCATTCCAAGTCTTAATTCCTAAATGAAACTTGTAAGACCAGGAATTAACAGTGGAAAGAATTACATTTTGTGGGATAAATAAAAACAATTTTGTAGATTGCAACTCTACTCTTTACTCACCTAGAGAAGCAGAACTCAAGCTGTTTCTTCAAAGAGTCTCTTAGGCTCTCCTCCGACATTGGTTGATCCTTAGAAACATCATCATCTGTGGCTGATTCGCTTTGTGGGTCAAAGACAAGATACCCCAAGTCAGGGTGGTTGATGCCATTCACAATGTCCTCTGTGGGTACAGGGGCATAGTCAGCAGCACTGTCAGGATATTCAGTGTTCTGTCCTTTACACCCTGCAGACGGAACGTCTGAGTAACCTAAGATAGAGAAGGCAAGCAGTAACAAAATGTTTGTGAAATAACTGTCATGTTTAGACAATGACACGTAACACTCTAAAGAAGTTTTGTCATGCTTTGTATTTACTGTGTAACCCTGAGGACTTACAATCCTCCCATATGTCATGTCTATCTGTAATTATGTTGGTAAGGTTTAAGAAACACTTTCCATGTCTATATGTGTCACACACGGTCTATTACCACACTTTAGTGCTGTACTAGTGCAGGAGAGACAGAAGTTTGGTTTATACTAATGACAAATTTATGTGAGGAGAAGATGGAGATAAACTAAGTTAGAAAATATTCTCTGAAGACATAACTGAATATACTCATACCGTTGGTCATCTCAGTGGGAGGAGGGTAGGTCTGCAGCCAAGGAGAATCCTCTGTCCCCTCTGGGATGTCATTCTGGTGGACAGGGACCTCCTGCCACACTTTAGCATTGGGATTCAGACCTGCTCCCTTTGTGGTAACCTGCATGATTACAAGAATATACTGTGAGTTATATAAAATAGCTTCAGGTTCACACCTGACACTATATGTTACAGGAAACAATAGTGTAGTTAGAACAGGAGGTCATTATCTTGATCATTACCAGCTGCGACAATATGGCAGGTATTGTTTTCACCCTTTGAGTTTGTGTGTGTGTCACAAAATGTGGTCCTGAAGACACCCACTGTAGCCATTGTACCCGTGTTTAGCAGGAACTAAAACAGAGTCATTTTGCAGATTTCTGTCTGTGGACACATTTTGTTTCCTCAATAGTGTCACAACCATTAAAGATGCACTCACAAAACTTCACAGATGTGTAGTTGAAATCAAAATGAAGGCCATATTCAAAGATGGATGTCATTTGACCAGGGGGGCTGGAAGTAGGGGAGTTGGAAGAAGGGAAAGCCCCCCCCTTTATGCCCATAGCCCACATTTGTTTCAATTCACAAATCACTGTATTCCAGTTTCAACCATTCCCGTGAGCCAAGTAGACAGTCTACTGGAATGAGGGATAAAAAATATGGATTAAACATGATAATGCTTTAAGATATGGATTATCATGTGTACAGAGTTGTGTTGTTTGAAATTGTCAATTGCCAAGTGTTGTAGCGTGTCAAATACTATAAGGCAATCAGAGCAACTTAGCAGAAGCTTCTGCACACTACAAATGATCAAAGACAAAAGACTAGAAGTGTAGAAGTCCAGTCTTCAAACAAGATAACTTGATTAGCATCAGTGACTCATAAATTTGAAAAAGGCACTTGAAACAATGATAATAATAATAGAATGCCATAGTTTTCCCTTAACATTTGCTAATCTAGATAATAAACATGTACTTGCTTTGTTAAACCAGAGAGGAACTCAGGATGAAATTACAAAGTAATGAATAAGTTATGAAAGCAGTTTTTACATGTTGCAAACATGCTACAACAGTATCAACCCCCCCTCCCCAAAACGGTTGCACTGCCTTGCCTCGCCTTTTCTCTTTCTCCCTCTCTCTAACACACACGCATCAACTCAATGAGTTTTCATTGGCTTCCTTATCACTCATACCCCGCCTCTCAAACGATCACATGTAACCATACATGGCGCAGGTTTGCCTGTGCGTTTCAGCATGACTTGAACAATACATTTTGACTTGTCATCCATTGCGGTATCTCGAGTGTGCTTCTGTCACTAATGCAAAACTAGCAAATGGCTCCAAGCCTCAAAAGCTTTCTATCCAACCTGTCCGCGATCCAAATCTGGTTTCAATCCAGCGGCCCAGGGCTTAAAATGAAGCAAAGCAGCGTTACGTGAGGGTCAGGAAGAAAGAGCACATGGCGCCGACGTGCCCATGCAACTTCAAACATGCGACGCTATTCGAAACGCTATCGTTTCTCTATGGATGTGAATGAATTGAGCTGGTTCTAGACACACAACATTTGTGGTTAAATAATTATGAAATCACCCCTGCACCCATGTTCTTTCAAAGTTAACGTCTGCGCGGCGCAGTGCCATGACCTTTATCACGGAACCCTTTGATGGCTATTTAGCTGGGTTGTGTAACAGCTAACATTTAACACTAATCACGTGCAGTAGTTGCTACACATGCAAAGCAAAGAGAATTAAATTATGCGTTTAATGCAACTTGTTAAGGAGCGAGATGTCAGAATTTTCCCCAATTCAACATGTTCTTAAACACGTGTTTGAAGGGTATGTTTGTTTGATGGTTGTCTAGCCGTCTACCATATGGTAACTAGCGACACCATAAATACTCGCCTTTAGCTAACTAGCTTAAGTTTACTAGCAGATCAGTGAGAACCGGCCTTACTTTACACTGCTATCCTTAGCCAATTTGTTTGACAGGTTGACAGTAACACGTGATTAACTGATCATGTAAATAAATAAAAGTCGTAGTTCGGGGCATGGACGCTAACTTACACTGGCTGCAGTGTAAAGTTACTGCTACACAGTAAAGCACTTTAGTCGGGCTTCAACCAGCACGAGTCAAATCGGAGAAAGGACGCAAACAGGTTGTCGCGTGTTAGCTAGCGTGCCAGCATCGAGGCCCAAAACTCACCATGCTGCTTTGATCCTTGCCTTCTTACGATGTCTTCTTCGGTTCCAAGGGATTTAATTGCCCTGTTGAATTTATTCTCCTGCGACGGTTTATAAATGATTGGCTGTACTTATTTTACAGTGGGCCGTCGTTGCTTTCTCCGCTTAACTACCGTCTCCCCGGCAACTGGTAACGTTACTTACGCGACCGAACGTCTTCCAGTCCAAACGGTGTGTTTGCGCGAACCTCAACTTTAAAAGCTTGTTACTTTTAACACAAACTGTTTTTTTCAGGAAAAATCAGATCCCATTTTACGAAATATGTTCATCTGCTTAATTCCTCGTCGTATAGGTCAGCTTTGAGGCACCGCTCAACCAGCATGTGACAGCTGCGTCCTCTGTCTGCCACAGTCCGTCCCAACAGGCTGCACTCCGCCTCCACCTCTGCCTCCCCGGCAACAGCAACGCTAACACCGCAGCGTAGCAACCGCTGAGTGTGACCTCTGTGTGGGGACAGTGCGGCTGGAGGAGTGGAGTCCATGCACTTGTGAGACCCGCCTTGAGATAACGACATAACACACGGAGCCATTTGGTAACCAGATACATCTAGCATTCCAAACACACTCTATCAGTGGATTACAGTAGTGGAATAAATAGCCTTTACTTGAGTGAAAGTACTAATACCACACTGTAAGTAATTCATTACCAGCAAATATCTTGCATTGAAAATGTCACTGATAATAAAAGAAAATGCTATTAAAGTATAAAAGTAAACTCTATACAGAAAAACTGCCGGTGACTGTTTTGCTAAATCATATCCCTGGATTATCATTTCTGATGCATTAATGTGTAAATTACATTTTGCCGTTGTAGTAGGATATGGTAAAGCACATTTTAAATTATTTTACACAAGGCCTCAGCTGATTATTGTTTTCTTGATTGATTGGTTGGTAAAAATTGTGAGAATCAGTTACCTAAAGTAAAGTGACACCTTCATAATGCTTGTTTTGTCCAATCAATAGTTCCAACCAAAATAAAAAGCAAAATTCAATAAAAGGGAAAGCAGCACAGCCTCACGTGAGAAGCTGGAGTCATGAAATGTTTGGGTTTCTTTTTACTTAAACTACAATCAGAATAGTTATCAATTATTATATAAACTCTTAAAATGTTTTGTTTGCAAAATATTAATTTGTGAACTAGTAACTAAAGTTAACAAATAAATGTAGAGAGGAAAAAGTACAATATTTTCCTCTGAATGTAAGTGGAGTATAAGTATAAAATAACATGGAAAGAAAATACTCAAGTGAAGTACAAGGACATCGAAATCATACTTAAAAAATTGTACCAAACTTGTGTGAATAGTTACATTCCACCACTGCTGCCTACATTGTTAGGAAACACTCAAATCACCTAAGCTGAGTGGGAAGGACATGCTGAAACTTTCTTTTAACTTTCTATTCAAGAAGTTTGAAGAAATACTAAGGAGAGGTTTGAAATTGGCATATATCAATATCTCCTCAGTGTCACAACAGGGTGCAGAATATGATCAGTTTTATCAATCATACTTTGACAAAAGTTCTGTTAAGGGAGCCAAAAGAGCTTAAGCAGAGCTGTTCAGGGCTGATAACGTACAAAAAAACTACAGTTTATAAGTTTACATCAACTCCTCTGTGGTAGTGTAACCGATAATTTCTTACTTTGAGTTCAGGTGAATGTTTGTGCCAAATTTGAAGTTCCCTCAAGGTGTTACTGGATATTGTGTTCATGAGAATGGGATGGACAACCTAAAAACATAATGCCTCCAGCCCTGGCTGTCACTGACAGACCTTTAATGTTCCTTGAATGCACAGTGACATTTTCAATTATGCAAACACAGTTAAATGAATTAAAAATATGTATATGCTGCTTTACCATGACAATAACCTACTTTACTTTCCAGGTTTGTGCACTTACTTCAGATAGAAACAAAAAACATTTATTTTTTTATGTTTTAACATAATTTCATCAGGTTAACGAAGGGCATTTTATTGTCTTACAACAGCAGGTGTAAGTTTTTTTTGCACACAAACATAAAAAAATCATGAAGAACAGGTATTCTCATTAAGCCTTGGTGGTCACAGCCGCCTGTTGGCTCTGTTGTAGTTGCTGGATCTTCACGTTCATTACTTCAATCACAGCTGCAAGACAAAAGACAGTGTATTACATAAATAGGTGCATCATTTTTGTTCTGAACTAAAAAGGATGAGGTTACGGTTGACGAATTAAATATTTCAGATCTTCTTAATTTAATCTGTAGTTTCTGTAGAATCTAAGGCACCATGTTTTTCAAATCATACACAGTACACTAGTGAACTGATTGCATTTTTCTGTAAAATATTGTCTGGGTACTATTGATAATTAATGTGAATACTATTTTAACATTTTAGTTCATCAATATCAAACTGTGTAAACATTCGATTTTTTTTTCCCATCATTACCCTCACAGGGTACTGTTTGTATGCAATCCCCTGTGCAAAACGGCTGAAAGGTTTAGCATTTCTTAGTGCTTGCCTCAAATGTATTAGTAAAAGATAAGGGAGAACTGCAGCATCAAACATCTTTGTAATAAGAAATTGTGGTGATATTTGATAAAACACTGACGAAGAAATAAAATAATCAATAGAAGATGAAGTTGGACTTACCTTGTTTCATAGCATGTTTTTCCTGAAGGGCTGGCTGAATTTTTTCTATCTGCTTTGTGAGGAAGTCTATTTTGCGCTTGAAGAATGCCTTTGAGGCTTCCACATTCTACAGAGATGGACAAATAGAGCAGTATAAATAAAATCCACGTAACAAATACCTCATTACAATTAACACAACAACTACCACATTATCTGAACAAATGGAAATAAATGATTAAATTATGTGCTTTAAAATTGCAACTATTTTTATTTTTACCTTTTCAACATAATATCCTGTCCCCACATCCACCAAAACATGTTCCACGTCATTTAATGTTCCAGGGACGTACATCTGAGAAGAAGGCATGTCAAGGACAAGCATAGACACAATTTCATTTAAAGAACAGCTCATACAACAGCAAAATGTGAACTTCCGGTTGCCCCACTGTAAAGGAAGGATACAGAACTGGTGAGCGGCACGAGCAATTCTTTTCCTGCATGAGAAAGGAGAGAAAGGGGAAAAGATACACAACATATAATCAACTTCAGGTACAGATTCAAAGATGTGGATGATTTCATGAACTTTAATGAAGACACTACACTTTTGAAGACTAAATGCATATTTTTACCCATTACTTTGACCAGCACACTGATGTGCAGTGAACCCTTTGAAGAGAATTGTTTTTACATTACTATGACTAGATAGTGCTTATTTTACTGGATGTATTTATTATGTAGAGGCTGAACTTCTATGATAAAGTTCACCATTCCAATATACACGATTTATCACAGGATCTCAAGAACCACTGTTGAGTTACATATGTTTTTATCAATCATTCCAGAGATTGATATAAAAAAAATAAAAATAAAAATAAAAAAAACCCCAACGACATACGGCTTAGTGGGGCATAAAGCAATAAAACATATTTTACTCACCTTTATTGTTTTTGTTCAGAACATTCAAACTATCCTTTGCTTCAACATACTTGGTCTGGACAACTTTGAGCTGACCTATTGAAGATGTCAAGAACTCAATCTCCTGTAAAAGTTACAAAACAACCAAGGTCAGAGTTAGTACACAGAGTGATCAAATAACTCCATACGAAACCACATCTGTGAGCCATCTGAATCCAACAAGCAATGCTGGATTACCTACTGGGCAAAGTGGGCAATCACCCAGCAGCGCAAAAAGCCCAAGATTCATTTGAATCTATGTAATATGATTAATTGCAAATTTGTCAGAAAGTTGGACAACTATAGTACAATATCGGCTTTGACTTGTCCTCCATCTTCTGTCTCAGTCTTGTTGAAAATAGTGAAAACCAAAGTATTTACACATTCAAATTGCTCGTTAAGTCTGACCAACAGTCAAAAATCCAAAGATGTTGAGTTTACTATCATAGCAAACAGGGGGAACTGGCAGATATGGCAAACCCCTAAGAAGCTGGCACCTGTGATTTTTGGTATTTGTTTAAATAGTTGCCAGATAATTTTCTATTTGATTAATCAACTTACTTGTTCAGCTCTGGAGTACTTGTTTTTTGGGTGCCTGGGAAAAATAGTGAAACTACCGTATATGGTGAGGGCCAACAGGGGCCCAACAGCAAATTTTTGCCCAGGGGTCCCTAAGAAGGATATCTGACCATGCCAAGTGTGTAGCTGTTAATTGCACTGATTTACCGTAAGAAAAAACAAATAGGCCCACACCTAAATATCAGTTTCCCTTTTAAGTGTAGTCCAATAACGTTATATGCTAATATATAACGCGTAAACACATTAACGTTACACGCCGAGTGACACACCGGGTATCTAACTCACGTTTTTACCGTTAGCTTGTGGAGGTGCTAGTTAGCTACCCACCGTCCCATTTTCATCTAGAATATCGCCCTCATAAAGTCGACATCTAAGAACACATTCAGAACTGAAATGTACTAAACCTTTTGATGTTACCTGATCTAGCTGGGTTTTCAGTCCCTCTAACTGAGGCAGGGAGAGGTCTGTAAGATTCACCGCCATGTTGGAAGCGCGATGCCAGATGACCCTTTGTGACTGTGGTTCCGGGTGAAGCACCGCTATTAGTATGAAACGTCGCCCCCCTGTGGAGAAGGCACAACGGTTCAACGGTCCTAAACAATACCAATATTTTAATCACTTTAAATGCAAGTCAGTCATATACATTACACAAACAGTACTGTGCAGAGGTTTAAGTCACTTCAAGTTAAGTGAGGATGATTTAAAAAATCGATTATTTATCGATCATTTTCATGCAAAGTACAGTAAGCAGAAAAAAAACCCGACCACCTTATAGCATTAAATTCTCCTCGTTAAACCCTCGCAGTTTTTCAAGGTACTTGGCAGGAATGTTGTTGGAGAACTGCCCACAGTTTATCTGAAGATTCATGCTGCCTCAGTGACTTCTGTGTCTTCATGTAATCCCAGACTGACTCCATGTTGCTTAGATCAGGGCTCTGTATGGGGCACAGACCCTGCACGGTCAGACTGTGGCTGAGTGTTTGGCTCATTGTCCTGGTGCAGAATGAATTTAGGACCAATCAGGCGCCTCCCTGATAGTGTTGTGTGATGGATAAAAATCTCAACATCTAAAGTGCCTTAAAGTTTTGCACAATTCATGCATAAAAGGTCATATTCTATGGGAGCAGGGCTCAAAATATTTGTTACCACTAAGTGAATCTGAAATGAAACGTTTTCAGTATACTCCTAAATATGTCTGTCATAACTGCATATTCATTTTAAAATTGTTACTTCAACTTGAAAATACAAACCCTTAACTGTCAACTGACAAAAGCTATAATTTTTCAAAGTAAAATTGCAAGCTGACGTTACTTGATGCCAGCCAAAATCAGGTTACGGTACACAAATTCAAAAGGTCAGTATGCATTTTCAAGTTTAAGTAACGTGGAGTCCATTTCACATTTAGTTCCATTATAATCATTGATGAATTACATGTGGGAGTGGCATTTATTTTGTACTTTAATTAAACGTTAAAACATTAAATGATCTTGTAATAGTGATATTAGAAGGACTGATATTCCTCAGTATTTGTCCTCTAGGGCCTACAACAACTCTATACAGGAAAAAAAGAAAAAGTTAGAAATTTCTTTAAATGTTGATATTCATCAAGAATTATAGCTACGGCTTTTAGATGAAATGAGAACACAATGTCACAAGGAAACACTGCATAAATGTGACTAATTAAAAAGTAATTTCAACAATTTTACAACACAAACATCGACTGTATGTCAGAAAACATTTATTTAAAAAACTTTGTTCAATCAACACATTAAAAGTGCATTAAAACACTCAATAAAAATTAGGAAGATATTTAAAATCATTCACACTATAGTAACATTGGTTTAAAAAAAATTGAAGCATTGGTTTAAATTAAGAAAATGCAGTACATTAATCTTGCTAAAACTTAAAAAATTTTGACTGGTCATCAAGTTAAAGTCACATCCTCCAGCGTGTGTACTGAAATAATATTGTTTAAATACTGCACAGATTGTTTACATCCTACTTTTAGCAGAGTTTTAGCTTACCAGCCCACCTACTGCAGGTGGACAGGTAATCCATAGACCACAGGTGCAGCTCCTATGAGGTGTTTCAGGTGTGTAGCCTGACGCGATGGTCCCATATAATCCAGGAGGGGAGCTCCAGACCCAGCAGATAACCAGGACTCCAACAAGGCTTTAGTGAAACGATCAATATCCCGATCTGTCACATCCCACAGATTTCCCAAAACAAAGGGGCTGAGGAGGGAAAAAGGACATAGTCAATACACACACACAAAGTTAAATTAATGTTTATTATGTGGTCAAAAAGATAGATTTGTATGGTATTAGCTGGGAACATTATCATCGGATGTGCCTCCTGTTCTGAGCACTTGATATATCTGCCGTACAATGATCAGTGCTGTTGCTGATAAGTTGATAATTGATGTGAACTGAAAGTCACTTAATTCAGGTTTGTAGATCTGCGAGAAAAAACAAACTTATCAACTATTAACTAACTATTTAATTTAATTTTTAGAGATATGTATTAGTAGGACAGCATTAACTGATTCTTATTCAACTACAATACGGATATCTCACCAGCCTGCGATGAGGTAGCTGAGGATGATGCCTTGTCCTTCCTGATCCCCGCGCACTGCCAGAGCAGCACTACTGCAGCCGAAGAGAAGAGAGGCTGCTTTCATCTGCCGTTTCAGAACCACCTGACTGTCTAGGAACCGGGCGCCTGCACCATGACCCACGTAACTAAAAGACCCCGGGGAAAGAGGCACATGAACAAAGATCAAACAGGTTAACAAATCAAGAGACTTAATTTATGTTTTTTGAGAAGTTTGTTTTATATGAATTGAATTAACTTAATTAATGTTGTTCAACATCTGAATTCTTATAGACTGTTGCCATCATTTCCCCTCCCATTCAGGATACTTAATATCATCACTAACTCACATGTACAGATCCTTGGTTGCCACAGCTTCTTCCAGCTGACCTGAGTCAGGAGCAACACCACATACACCTTCCCAATCCAGTTTACTTTAAGGAGAATAGTAATGTAGTTAAAGAGAAAGAAATACTAGTGACAGACAAATCTAATCTTTTAGTTTAACTGAGAATTGGTGTTACCTGCTAAACCATTCCTTAAATCGGTCCTGAGAGTTTCCTAAATTGGCATCAGGGTCCAGCACATAAAACACCTTCTTTGTATCCACACCTTGCTTCAGGATGGAGTGAGAATCAGTCTAAAGGGAAGGATTTAAGTAATGAGACCTATAGCCACAACTGAATTTTAACATCAGTAAGTAAATTACACTTGCACCACTGTGCCTTGTAGTAATGGGGTTTAATCTTACCTCTTTCTGAATGCTCAGTCCAATTAGTGAGTGCAGAGAAGGCATCCGACTGACTGAACGAGACTTTAAGATGGAGACGCTCTCCCATGGTAACTTCTGAAGGTACTACAAAGGAAACAGGACAGATGGAGATATGACTGCATTATTATTCCACCCCACAATGGCCAATTGGACGTCTTGACTCTCAAAAAACTCCTTTATCTACAAATCAGACTACAGAGAGTTCAGTATTTGATAGAGATAATGAAACCAACCTTGTCCAGAATGAGAACCACATGACCGTGGGGTTCGTCTCTCTCTGAAAGCCGGGACACAGCTGTATGGAGAAGCTGGTCACACTCCATGTCCCACTGTGGAGAAACTCCAAGAGAAAATCTTTGGATGTCTTCTTGGGAGAGTACAGGAAATGCAGACAGCACAGCCTGAAATCAAAGTTAGAAGTTAAGTGGTTGTTGTTTTGCTGTTCCTGCCCTACCTGCTTTTGAGATCAAGATAGAGTAGAAGGTTAGATGCCAATGCTCCAGGATCCATAAAAAATAAAATAAATAAAAAAACGAAAAAAAAACCAAACAAAACAAAAACAAAAACAAAAACACACACACACACACACACACACACACCTTCAACATCTCCTCACTACACATCACTCCTCTGGCAGACAAGGCCTTGCAAAGGCGCTGGGCCTGATTGGAGAGCTCCGGATCTGATGAAAAGGGAAGAAGGAAGCTCTTCCAGCATCCAAGCAATTCCTCCATGTCTTTCAACAGTTGCTGGAAGAAAGATGTGAAGGTGACTTTTAGCATTTTTTTAGTCAAAACATAACTAAAAAGCATTACTTCAGATTGCTTGCTCTACATGTCTGAGTGGAAGTATATAACTTTGAGTGAAAGTAAGAGAGTAATACAGGCATTGTGAATGCCCTCCTGAGCAGTGCCCTTGCTCATAACTCACCTCAACTCGAGAGTCAAGTGCCCGGCGGCCTTCCCACCACTTCGCTTTCTCAGACACACAGCTCACAACCTTCTGTTCCACCTGAATACTGTCCATCTCCTGCACGAGCCAACTAATGGGGTGCTGCACAACACAAAGAGAGACAGAAGTTATAGTTAGGGTCATTTGATGTGAGGTTCTGTGCGGTACCTGGTACACAAAGAGATAAACTGAAGTGTGCATGTGTGTAGGAATATGGTAGTTCAACTGTTGAGAAAATGTAGTTCCAAAAGAAAGGGCTGTTTGACGGCAAGATAAAGCAGTGAAAATATCCAAAATAAAATGCACAATTCAACTGATATTGGCAAAGGGCTAAAACACATTTTTTTCAGCTGACCCCGTCCACATCAGTACATTGCTAAGCTTCTGTGGCAGTGCTCTTATCTGTTTCTGCAATACACTATGTATAGGTACCTCACACAACCCGTAGTCACTGGAATAGTCAATGAAGTGAAGCCACCTTTTCAAATAAAATATATCAGATTACAAAAATCTTTCATTTAATTCCCTTTATAGATTTTCATTTCACTTAGATCCATCTACAGCTTTAATAAGGATTTTTCTACTTTAGCTAGACTACTTGTTACTGCTGATAAGAGATGGGAAACTGTCAGCATGGCAAGCTGAACTTTGTTTAGATAATACTTGTTTGGAGTTTGAAAATAAAATCACCCATCTTAAAATTATATGTTATTACCATCACCTGCTGCTTAGATGTGGGGATATGAACAGTGACAGGGTCAGATCCTTTCTCAAGACGTGTCAGTATAATGCTGTTGCCCATTTCCCCGGGTTTTACTCCAAGCACAGACATCACACACACCGTTACCCCTGCAAAACAGAGAGAAAGGATATAATGAAAATTCACACTCTCCTTTTGTTTAATTTATCAAGCATGAAAGCATCAAGGAATCTGATTCAAGTTATGGATCAATTAGCTCCAATATTGTTACAGTAGCAACATGAATGACATATGAGCCTCTCATAATGCATCACCGTTATGCAAAGCACATTTTGACAAAATCAAAATCACAAAAATGTACCCACTTAGCTACTGAGATCAAAACAGTTTTTATTACTTTACCTTGGGGAAGGAGTTGAAGTTGTTGGATAAACTCTTGGCAGTGGTTCTGAGGGAAAGATGAGGAGTCAGCAGTAGGGAAGGAAAAGATGTTCTCCAACTGAGCCAACCTCTGTTCGGTAGAATTCTTGGATTTGGTCGGACTGAGCTCGTTTAGACTCAGAGCATCCATCTTGTCTGTCAACTCATTTGACGACTTTCTCAGCTTTCTATTCGAATGATACAAAGCAATGCAAGTGTTCAGTAATTTTAAACACAATTTGTGATCATGTAAATAAAAGGCAATGTTGGGCAACGTTGAATGATGGATGTGTTGCCAAAAATGTCTTTGGATTGAGTTGTTGGCACTATAAATATTACATATGTGCTTACTTGAGACAACTGGCTAAATGCCTGATTGTGCGATGACGGCTTGTGATGCCCAAGGACTGGGCATGTAGCATGGCTGTAGTTATGGGGTCGTGCTGTCCGAGTGCCAAAGCCAGAAGAGTAGAGAGGGTTGGGTAAATGGTGGGAGAAGGGAAGTGTTGAAGGGCCAGCCAGGCTGAACGCAGCAACAACTGAACATCCTCCAGAGAGAGATTATCTGAAAAAAATAAAATAAATAAATGAATAAATAAATAATAATAATATTGATGAAACTGGATAAGGAGCTGGTGATTAACTGTACATCTCTTGGTAACAGCTAAACAAATGTGTGTGTAAATTTAGTGAACAGTTAATGTACCATAGCATTACATGGCACATTTCCTTTTTCTGGTACAGATGCATTACGAGGTACTGATGTACTGATGATTCCACTTTTGTAATACCATTGTATTGTACATGTTATTGGATTGTGATTTAAAACTTGCATGAAATGACATATTATACCATAAAGATGCAGTATAATTGCAGAGCAGCTCACCTGGCCTGGTGTCTGGATGAGAGAGGTGGGTTTGTGGACCTTCTCTCAGATGACCTCTACTCCTCAGTTCAGACAAGTCGTCTCTTTCCAAGTCACAACACATATCCCTCCGCAAGACCTCAAAATCTATGTCAACACCGAGATAAAGGAGGAGATTAGAGCTCTAGTATCTATCCAGATTGGATACTGCAATGACCGTTATTGCTATTACGTGTCTTGCTATTTCCTGGCATTCTTCACATCTCACATACAGTTTTTGATTAAGTTTTACTGCCCAATAGCTGCATAAAATCGACAAATGCTCTCCTTGCTTGTTGTTGATATTCTGAAACGTACATTTTTGAGGTTTTAATACAGTATCACTGAGCTGATAAGAAATTTGAGATTATGGTGTAATTAATGGTAAACATTTTTCATTTTAAGCCAATGCAAGGTGATTATGAGAAAGTCCTCCATGTACACAAAATACACACCAGTATATTTACTTGAAGCAGGATTGTCTTCAGTCTCGGTGTCTGATGTCCTAAGCTGCTCAATGCTTATGTCCAGAACTTCATTAATTTCCTCCTCAATGGTCCTCATTTTGTCTGGCTCTTCCAGAGTTTCTGCTTCTGCCCTGGACAGCTCCCTCCTGGTTCTTCCTCGCCTTGTTGAGGGAGGCTGACAGACCAAACTCTTTTCATCTTCAGAAGACGTGGTCCGAGGCACTGCAGTGCTTTTACCCTTGGCCTGTCTCTTGGGCAGGACTTTCTCTGCTGGTGGATCTGGGGCTGTTTTAGAATTGTGGGCAGCTCTTCTCGTGGCTGGTTGCTTTTTAGGGACACGTGTTTTTTCTTTGGGCTCTGCTAGGGTATTGGCCTCTGAGTCACTCTCATCGCTAAACTCCACCTGTTAAAAAAGGAAGATGTTTTTCGTAAAAACCCAAATTTTTTTTGTAACAATAAAACCTCGACTCTGATTAGATACCTACCTTGAAACGTGATTTCTTTGTGCGTCTGGGGGCGGCAGGCACAGGTTGAGCTTTGTCTTGAACTGGTGACAATTCTTCGTACACATGAAACTGTAGCTTAGAGGCAGTCCTCGGTGCTTTCTGCGCTGAAGCAGGAGCTTTCACCTTCTGAACAGGAGTACAAGCCAAAGTAGGTACCACTGTGTTGAAGTCAAAAGTGCCAAGCTCTTTAACAGAGGGCTTTGACTTAACCATTACTGGTGTCATAGGAACCAGTCCCTTTCCTCTGGAGGAGCTTGTCACTTCAATCTTGGGCTTGACAGCCTTCACCTTTTTTGCCTCCTTTGTTTTGTTGGGAATATCAGGGTTTTTAATAGAATCTTTAGACTTTTTAAGCAAGGACGAGGAAGACACCATTTTCTGTTCCGATTTCAGTTCTTTATCTTCTTTTGGTGTGTTCCAAGTCCAAGCATTTGAGAAGAGGTCCTCTGGGTTGCAGCCCTGTTTGGAAGCCAAGGTGATCAATGATACTATGGCTTTAGTTGCCATTAGGCCTGCTCTCACTGGTCTTAAGACAGGAGAGGGAGTGGAATCAACAAATGCTAAGCCGGCTTCCAGTACTTTCCATATACCACAGACCTTGTTAAGCCTTGGTTCCAGCCCAGACAGAGCCATGCAAAGGTACACACGGCCCACCAAGTCCTGCATCAGGGAGGGTTTAGAGGAGCCTTTGGTGGGGCCACAGGGAGGGAAGAGTTTAGCCAATTTTGCCCCAAGTTTGGCAGTGACACTCTTACAGCGGGCTAATGTTGCCCACTGAAGTTTCAAACCAGCCTTGGCTTCATTAGGATCCAGCTGGAGAACCAATTCAGCCTGTGTAGCAGCCCAGCGAGCAGTGGCACGGCCCAGACAGGGCTCAGAGCAGCAGGGGCACTGGCAGTTAGATTCATGCGCCAGGGAGGAGAGCCAGCGGCGAGGCTGGGCTTTGAGAGGCGGGGAGCTAGTCAGATCCTTAACTACAGGTTCTGTAGCAATCCACCTAGTGCTCAGGATGCCCTTAAGATCATCCTCCATAGTAGGCAGGGGAGACTGAGATTTCTGCACTGGGCGACCTTTCCTTGGTTTGATTTTCACCTCTGTCTTCTGCACCTGATCAGAAAAATCTGAGGAAAAGAAACAGAAGTCCTTTATGCAGCTCAAGAAAGATGGCACCATCAATAAATATTTAATATTTTGGGGGTGAGCAATATAGATGTAATGCCACTGCATGATTAGACAAAATTCCTATCACATAACAGAAATTTCAGTTTATCATTTTTTAAGTTTTTAAACTACAATTTACTTGGAATTATTAACATAGATGACAAAATAGTAACAGTAATAGTAACTGTGACATGACCACCTCATCACTGTACAATTTCAGTGAACTCACTGAACGATACATTGAATAAGTACCCAGCGCTATTTGAATTGGTAGCCGTGTATGTAACTGACCTGTGCAGAGTTCCAGAAGATTTCTGACTTTGTCTAAATCAAGTCTACTTTCTTCTCTCTCCCCTTGCATTAGCTCCAACTCAGCTTTCATCACCAGCAGCTCAGCACATCTTAAATAAATAAATAAATAAATGAAAAGTAAGAGTAAGAGTGAATTCCATCAAAAAAGCTCTCCTAATATGTTGATCAATGTCTATATTGTGCTGTGTTCTGGGCCATCTTAGGTATATTATAAGTGAAGTATTAATGAGCATGTATGAATAGAACAAATTTGGTTATTAGGTCAGTTTTAAAAGTTACACCTGTAAATTTCAACACTGTAAAATTAAGTCTTTTAACTCCTGTAAATATAAAGCAGTCCAGCAACACCAACACAGAGTACAGCCTCAGAAATCAGCACTTCCATTACAGTCTAAAATAAATTTTATAAAAAAACTTCATAAAATTAAAATTTACTGGAGGGCTGTTGTATTGGCATGCAATAAACAGTGCAGACAGCTAATGAACTGTAACTCAGCATGTAACTGTTTCAATCAGTAACTACAATAAGGGAACACTGTATACATACTGTATATGTGAACTATGCATCTGCATCTACTTATCAAGCATGATCCCAATGTAATTTACAGGTTCAAGAAATATGCTTAAGTACTGTATACTGTAAGTTTAACAGTGCATAAGAAAAAAGAAGAAACACACTGTGACAGCAAGTGTGAGTTGATGCACCAGTTCATAAACTGTCCTTTGGACTCTGGACTATTTACATTTTTACCCACTAACATGTACATGTACATACTGGCTGAGTGCTTGTAGCTTGATGGCCAGTTTAAGGGCTTCTAGGCATTGGAGCCTGGCATCATTGATGGCCCCACAGCTGCTTCGAACAGCCACCATCTTCATAGAGCAGTTCAACAGGTCTGAGAGCAGCTGCCATTTCAGCACCAGGTTATCTCCTACAAGGGAAGAGAAAGAGAGGAATTGGCGTAGCTGAGGGCATTAAAAGAACACATAAGTATTATCAGATTTTGAACTGATAACTGATGAACTGTTAATCCATATGTGAGACAATGTACCTTGGTCGATGAAGCGCACATCTGAGCTGCTGCTATTGGTCCCGTACAGGCCTTTCCCCACTAAAGTGACCAGCAGGCTGCAGAGAAGCTTCAGGCTTTCATACAGGGCAATGTCTGGGCTATTTATACCTGAGGCACACAAACATAGGTCCATAGTTGGTTATTGCAGCAAACCTGACCACTACATTCTCACAATGCAAAATAAAAATAAAAAGCCATCTAGTTATATTAAATGCAGCAAATGCTTCTCCGAACCATGCTGTGTTATACGGCTGCGCTCAGCTTGTGGCAGTGCATCTGTGTCCAAACTCAGGTAGGCGCTGCATGTCTGCAGTGCCCGAGCACGCAGCAGGTACCAGCTTTTTGACTGTCTCTGCTCATTCACTTCTTTAAGCACTTCACACAGATAGGGCACTCCGCGGTCCACCTGAAATGGCCAAAGAGGAGAGGAGCAATTTTGATTAAAAAAATTATTATTATTATTATTTAATTATTATTATTTTTTAATCACCTGTACCACCAAAAACAGTATATGTAGATAATATTAGAAATACTGCTGGTAGACATGTTACCCACCTGTCCTGTGCTGTAGCAGTACTGAGCTTTCAACAGAATGGCCAGCATAGAGAGGGAAGAAGGTCCCTCACCAGTGGTATCTGAGGTAAGATTTTTTTCTGCTTGCTCTAACTGGCCCTAAAAACAGTAAGTTAGAGAATTATTTCACATATAATTTAAAAAAAAAGAAAAAAAGGCAGAATAAATTCTATGAATATAGATATATTCTGCCAAGTACCAAGAATAATCATTTAAAAAATAAATAAATAAATAAATAAAAATAAAATGCATTACCAAAGCCAGATCAGGGGCACCAATATCAAGAAGGAGGCTGGTTGATTGACAGAGGAAGCTGGCACGACTGTGGGAGTCAGCAAGATGATGTGAAAGTCCAATAGCAAGTCGGTAAGCTTCCAAAGCCTTTAGAGGCTGCATAAGAGAATAAGGAGATCTGATTAATACACACTTGTTAAATCAATCTGATCCAAGCATACACCATAAAGAACCGCTTACAGATCTACGTCCTTCTTGCAGTACAACTACAAATTACTGTATTTACTTTTACAAGCAAGAGAGATCATCTAGAATGTTTTTGCCCACATCTTGTATTATTACCTTTCCCATGAGTCTGAAGAGAGCTGCAGTCAAAGCAATGGAGCTACAGGTCTGTTTGGGGTTCCTAACAGAGGGCAGAACTTGACTCTGCAGAAGAGCAGACCACTCATCCAGGGCTCTTTCCAAAGGTTTGCACAATTCTTAAAAGGAAAAATAATGTGTAATAATCAAACATAGAGACAGCAAGTGATAAGCAATTATCCATTTCAGATTTCAATGGATGATATTAAAAAAGGGGTTCCTACTGTTCTCTGCAGCCAGGTTGAAATGCAGGCCTTCATAGACCATAATGTTGTCTTGTGTCTTCTGCTTGTCTTCATAATCAAAATCATTGGTTCCTATGGGATTGGCCACACACCGTGTCTGTTCACGCAACTCTCGCAGCTTTTTGTCCTTCTCAATGGCCTGGCCAAAAACAGTATTTTCAGTGTCAGTATATTAACCACTTTGATAATTCTATCTTGAAGTTGATTTAACCCCAAACCCTGTCATGCAATCCAAAGCAACTAATTTGGATTTCAACTCTAACTGTTAAGCTACTTAAAAAACTGATAAAAAAGGCTATGTTATACATGACTTTGGACGTATGTAGAAAAATCACACAAACAAGATGGAAAAGACAAGACACAAAACAAAAACAGTGGTTCATTAATATATGCACATACTATCCTGACAGATCCAGCAGTGCTCACCTCCTGAAGATTCTTCTCAAGAGTACAGATATACAGCCAAAGTAAAGCATGGGCCTTGTCATCCTTCAGTCTGTCAGCATTCTCTGCAGTCTCTCGTTCTTCTTCCAGTAGGCGTAAAGCTTCATGGGTAAAATCAACTGCAGAGCTGTGTAGTTAGAGAGAAAATAAACACAGAGACAGGTTGGTGGGCAGATATGTTTGTTGGCCCCACATTAATCCTTTTTTTCCCCCAGCACAAAAGCAGGGTGTACCTAAAACATTAATCAGGTGCCAGATCTGACCTATTTCCCTTGCCATCACATGTGCCATTGAAACCCCATTCACACAAGAGTCATAACTTCAGTTGCAGTTTCATACACATTGTGGATGACCCAGAGCATTATAAATTACATAATATGAGTACCAAATAAAATTATGGTTTAGCTAAATTTCTATCTCTTTCAGTAACTTGGTCTCTTGCCAACTCTTTTTCAGAGTAGTCTGGTAGTACATACATGTTTGCAAATGCCACAAAGTTCACCTGGGGCAAAACTAAGCAGCAGGTAGCATATCCTTCACCCTGGTCATAAAGCCAGATTGATATTCAGACTGACAAACCATGTTCATATGAAAGCTCCTACCAGTCAGTCTGTTCACTGAAATCCTGGAAACACACAACTTGGGCCATTTCACAGAGGTAGACAGCACGTAGGTGAGTGTGGGAGCTCCCTTCATGGCAGATGTCCAACAGATCGCAGAGTGTGTTGTAACGCTCCTGAGCGGTATCCCCTGCCACCTCCTTATAGGCACGCAGCTCTTCCTCCAAAAGGCACAGCATTACTCCTTCATCAGGGACGTCAGGACCAAAACCATCACGCAATGTCCTGTTCCAGGACAAGCCAACAGTTTGTAAGATTGAATAAAACACCAACACCAATGCAGAAAATAGAGGACCTAGCCATTAAACATCTAGGCAGGAGTTATTTAAAGACTTTATTACTCTAAGTCACTTAAGTAGTTTTTGCCTGTACCTGAGTCGGATGTCCTCCTCAGAGTTACGTGCCGCATCAGTCTTCGTTTTCACCCAAAGAGAGACCGGTTCAGCCATATGTGTAGGAACGTTGTCCCCCAGAGCTTTCAGCCACAGAATCACCCAGTCCAGTGCTCGCTCCAGTTGTCCAGCACGCCGAGAAGTCTGAACAGCCAGCATGAAGGGTCTGCTCAACTAGGTAATGATAATATAAACGCCACGTTCAAATCAAATGGTGAAGGTCAAGGTAATACATATAACTATAAACATGAAAATATATATGTAAAGCAAATTCCCCCATGGCCCTTCAGGTTTGTTTTTATCCAAGCCCATTCTAGACAAAGACATGATATGTAGTGACATGTGAAGAATAATAAAAGAAAACATGCTTAAGAAGCGCTTACCCTATCAACAGAGAGCGAGACAGGGCAATTCTTGCATAGATCCCTGCAGAGGATCTCAACTAGCGTGAACGCCTGGTCATAGAGGCGCCGGTTGTACAATCCACAAACTAAGTTGCTCACAGCAATAACTAAAAGACACACAGTGAACACAAAATGAAAAAAATTTCAAAATAATATAAACATATTAAGTGTATATATTACATGTTCCTAACAATTTAAGGGAGCAGTTCAGAAACATTCAAAGTTTCCTGTCAACATTAATAAAGTAGAATATAATCACCTGCTTTGATGAGAAGGCTTTCACTAGACAGCTTGCGCAGTTCAGTCATCATCTGTCCAGCTGTGGCTTGGCAGTACAGCAGCACTCTGTCCAGTGTATCACTGTTCTCCAACTAAGAAGGACAAATCACAATCAGAACTTAAGTCTAAATCCGAGAACATTAAGAAGTGACATGTGATGTAAGTGTATGCTCATCCATGTCATTTTCAGTTTTAGCATAACTATCATTATCATTGGACGTTACAGATTTTATCCTCACCTGTGATGCGAGCATACTCTCATAAGCAAATACAAAGCCTTGGTAAATACTGAAACAAAGGGCCTGTTGCAGTCTGCTGCTCTCAGCCTGGCATGTCAAATTCTGTAAAGAAGTTACACATCAGCAATGTATACATCTACATACACAAACACAAATTTTTCCTGGTACGTTACGAAACTCACCCTCTTTAGCATTTTTAAAATTAGCTCTTGTTGCTCCTCAAGGAAAGAAAACCAGGCAAGGAGTACAGGACCACTTAACCCCTTGTTGTGACCATTCTCAACAGCCCACACCACGAGTGCGCACCCTTCCAGAACTGCATGAGCTTCTCTGCCCCCCAGGTCCTCCGGGAGAGACCTCAAGACTCTGGCACACTCTGTCAAAGCCTGGGCATTCTCCTCACCAGACTTCATTGTTGAATGAACTTTTACTACCCACTTGCCAAGCAACAGAGCTGTACACTGACAGTCAGCACAGTCCCTGACCTTGCTCTCAGTTTCATTCAGGAAGGTGGAGGCCAGATCGTAGTGCCCAGCTTTACAAAGCACCTTAACTATAATCAGCAGCATTTCAGAACGCACATATACACTTGATTTCTCAATACACTGCCTGGCCTCATCCCCCTCCAAGCCTTGACCACCAGTCTGGCATTTGTTGAAAAGTGAGCGCACTTCCTGGAGAAGAAAGGAAGCATCCTCATTGGTCACCGCTCCACAGCTACTCTCAAATTCAGCAATGGCATCCTCTGTGTAAATGGGAGCTTTTGAGAAGGAGGTAGTTGCACTTTCTGTGTCCAACAAGAGGAGAAAGCTCAGAGCTTGCATCTGGCAGTGGAATTTATCCCGGGGATTCAGGATTTTCCTGTCTTTGGCAGCAGAGAGTCCAGTCCAGAGCACTGAGAAGCAGCTCCGCAAAAGAACATAGTAGTCCTCCGCCTATAAACCACACATATCTTGTTAATACTGACGGTAATGAAGCGATCATGCAGTGTGTATGTGGGATATACTGCTCGTTGTGCACAGTTCATATTTACAAAAGTTTCTGTGAAAAGTGATACATACCTGTTGTGCAGTGGTAAGCCTGCTGTAAAGCAACCCAGATACATAGCTGCATAGAATGTGGGCTTCTAGGGAGCTTAGCTTCTTGACAATATGGAAAATAATCTTTTCCATGTACAGTGGACTGCTCTGAGGAACAAGTGCTGCAGAAATATCATAGCCATTAAGGGAAAGCTCCACTAGCTTTACCAACTGACTGACATGGTCAAAGTCAAGAGATCCAACTCCAAGTTGATGGTTACAGGCTCTGATGACCCTGTCACACAGCGTGCGACCCTGAAGGCCTGGTCGACGCTTCACATAATCCTGCAAAATATAAACCAAAAAGATTTAGATTCTCTCTTCACCATGGTAAATTTATTTTATAGTTAACTGTAAGGTATTTTGTACTTTATACACAAATCATGTCTAATATCTATCACAGCATATGTAACTACGCTCATTTAGAGGTAGTTAATCCTAGGTTAAAAGTCAGTGCTTTAAATAAGTTATTTTAGACTAGTAAAATAATGGTAACTTGTAATATTACTTTCATAATAATTAATGTTACGATAGATGTGTGATTAACGTTATGCTGACCTCTAGTTCTTGAAGTAAATGCTCCGTCTCTTCCACAGAAGCGATCCGCTTTACGTACTCGTCCACTTTCAAACATTTCATGTTGGCAGCTGTAGGGGACACATCAGTTAAGGGTAAGTTGCTTTTAGTTTTAAGCCTCATCTAAGCGAGTTAGCTTAGCCGTTAGCTAACGTTAGAGACAACGTCCGCCACAACATGACACTGCTCAACTAACGTTAACATAGCCAAAGTAACTACGACCTACCTGAAGCGGGAGACCTTTGTAGCAAAGCCTTTATTTAGAGCAAATAAAACATTGAATTAGCATACTTTAGGGCAGCCGTGGGGCTGCTGCCAAACTTAACTTAAGTAAGACTGAAAGATTCAAATCTTCAACTATCATGGAAACTGCTCGCGCAATGTTTTTGAAAGGTGTTCGCTAACCAATCCGAAAGCACATCCGGTTTTACTCGCAAATAAAAGGACTTCTTCTTCTTCTTTGGGTTTTTACGGCAGTTGGCATCCATTATGTTGCATTACCGCCTCCCTCCGGTTTTATGTATCCATTACAATCTTGTGATTAGTCCTGTTGCTCTCAAAAACCTAAATATATATATATCTTTCCTTCCACTGTGTCCCACCACACAAGCGCATCTTTAACTCGCACTTGTGCTAATCGCTGTAGTCCTGTTATCTTTCTCCTTTTTTCCTTTTCATACTTCCTACATGAAATTAGAACATGCTCCACTTTACTCTCCTTTACGTAACACCGATTACATTGAATACAACTATTTCAGTTGCTGTGACTGACTCAGTCTACTCATGATTACTTACTTTTCTATCGGTATTTCTTACTGCTCTTACTTTTTATTGAATTTCATGTAAGTGCCTACCCTTTGGCACAATACTGCAGCCATTGTTTAAGTATTTTCCTCCAGCCAACACTTTTCCTCTCTGATTTTGAAAGCTTAATATCAGTTTCCACATTTCCCCTAACTTCTCATTTCCTGGGATAGTTTGCTGGTACCCACATGAATGTTATGTTTTTTCCCCTGACTGGCTAACCTTGAATTAGTAAACAGTAGTTTATAGGTTAGGTCGTGATGATTTCTGACTGATCCTGTTTTAATGCTTGACAGTGCTGACACTGAGTCACTACACATGAGTATTTTACTTGTTACGACATCTTCCACCCACTCAAATGCTAACTGAATTGCCAATTATTCAAAAGCATATACACTCAAATTAAGGTTCTCCTTCTGACCCCAGTGTCTTGACTGGCAATCACCACTATTGTTGCTTCTGTTAATGGATCCTTTCTTCCATCAGCAAAAAGCTGCAAATAGTCACTGTAATTCCTATCTATGTAACCATATTCCTGGTCTAGATCTACTGTTTTATTTCTGTGCTTGATATTCAGTAACTCCATGTCCACACAGGCATTTTACAGCATCCATTCTGGTCTCACAGGCCACAACGCAGCTGGACAAAATATCATCACATGAACTTTCATTTGTTCTGCTATGTTCTTGCTTATCCCTTCAAAGCTATTTTTTTCTGTTTTTCTCTACTCCCAACAGGCCCCCCAAGACTCTCTTAGTTGGATGACTTTCTTTGTGTCCCCTTCTATTAACCAGTAATTGGTCATCAGCTGATGTTTGATGATATGTTACTTTGAAAACAGTAACACATCCTAAGATGTAGTACGGGAATTCTAAGGATAAGGCATAAGCACTGTAAGACACATTGTGTGATGTGAACCCTGATTTCCATTTAGTGGGTATTATTGACAGACAGACTAATATGGCAATATTTCAAATAATTTGTACATGGTAAAGTTTTCTTGGGCCTCGATTTGGCTTGGAAATGATACAAAGCAGGATTAGAAATGCATACACAGGGATATTCAATTTAGTTTGGCAATTTTTAGATAACAAACTAGGACAAAGTAGAGGCAGAGTGAACAAAACAGATGCAAACCACAATTTTAATGGGAAGCGAGCTTCTATGATGGGAGACAGCTCTAACATAGCAAATACAAATACCCGTGTGACTGTTAAGTGTGTATTGTGAGACTTGCTTTCTGTGTTGGTGATTACTGTCTTTATCTATATTTTACTTTTGAGAGACAGAGTTTACGAAGTGCTTCAAAAAGAAGACAATCAAGTCATGTCAGTTCCTGGTGGTAAGAAGAATCACATAGAAGGCTACTTATGAACTAAGCCTCTCTTCTTGATGACATGTTCCATCGCAGCCTTTTCGGAGGTGTCCAAGTTGATATTGTACTTGGCCAGGACTTTCAGGATGGGCCTCAGCCTTAACCACCACTGTGTCTTTGGAATACGATGACTGCAGGGAAAAGAAAGCACATGTCAGTGTGAGGAGGAAAGTAGAAACAAGAGCAAAATGACTTTTCTAAAATATCTTAAATACGTCCAATATGTCCACTGTGTGAACAGCAAGTCTCCAAAGCATCAGCCTAAAGCTTTATAACTAACATATTAACAAATAGCATGTGCATAATATGTGCACATGTAGTACGACCAGACCACCATGGGCATATCATTGGAGTTTTCTACCTGTCAAATCTAAGTATAATTTTATTCATTATTTCATGTTTTCATCATTTTGTGTACACTTGGCCATGGTTTAGTATCAACTGTTTTTTTTTTTTTGGTTGTATCAGTTTGGTAAATAAAACAATGGACTGAAAGCTTCAGCTGCAAAGTGGGGTGTTGACTTTCATTAGGGTAAGACTCATAAGGTTTTATCTTGATGTAAAAAATATTGTTCAAAGCTTTAATGTGGCCACAGAATTAAATACAAAACAGTGGAGAGGAGAATAACTGAAGAGAGAACAAACTGAAGGGATAGAAACTAAGTCTTACTCAAAGTCAGTCTCCTCTTTAAGTTCTTCCAAATTCCGGAAGACCAAAGCTCTCTTCTTCATGCCCAGCACACAGGCTGTATCCGGAGAGTTGGCAAATATGCGACCTGGAGGTTTGAGATGAACAAAAAAACTACACATCAGTTCAGGGATCACAGGAGGTCAGCTCAGCAGAAGTGTACAACATTTTGTGTTTTTAGCAAGGTCATATCCTCACCGTGTCTGTAGCATTCCTTCAGCTTGTCAGTCAACCAAAGGACAGACTTGATGCCCATCTTTGTGCCAAAATTCCTGTCAAAAGGAGTGGGTGTTCCGCCCTAATAATGAAGGAAAATAAAATTTATGGTATTGAATGGGGTGGCAAGTAATGAGTCTAATACACAACAAACAGAACATTTGCACACACCTGTTGCATATGTCCAAGTACATTCTTCCTGCAGTCAAACACACCCTTGCCCTCCTCTGAGTACAGGTTGAAGATAAAATCTGTGGTATAGTTTGCATTGCTTTTCTCATTTCTGAAACACAAGAAGAATACTGGATGAGATCTGAACCATCAGTGAGCTACAGAGTGTTGAAATGAAATTCCCACAAACCTCAGAATCAGTCCTCTCTTCACTGTGGTCTTCATCTTCTCCACCAGATGTTCCACATTCACCTACAAACAAATCAGCTATCAGACCACTGATCCAATCATCCACCCCTCAGTGATGTACTGTATGTCATCACTCAGCCTCCTGTCTTTTATACAATCATAAGCTCAGACCTCAAGGTCGTGAATGTTGAAATGCTCCTCATAGATGTAGGCAGCATCAGCTCCAGATGCCAAGCCGGCCATGGTTGCCAGGTAGCCGCAGTATCCTCCCATAGTCTCAACAATAAACACTCTCCTCTTGGTGCCAGCGGCAGATTGTTTGATCCTGTCGCACGTCTGAAAAGGAGAAAGAGATAAAGAAGAATAATATACCGTAGTGAGTATAGGATTTTGACTTTGAATTACCCGGGGTTGAAGTATTTTTGTGTACTATAAAAATTTTACCATGGTTATGGTGTTGAGGGCAGTGTCAGCGCCAACACTGAAGTCAGATCCAGGAACATTGTTGGAGACAGTAGCAGGAATAACAACAAGGGGAATGCAAAGTTCCTCGTACTTCTCTCTAGCTTGCACTATCTCCAGCCCTCCAACAAATGCCTGATGAAGACACGAAGGACAAAATTAGTAAAAGTGACTTTCACCATCATTTAGACTACGTGTTGCATTTTGTACTTATGTTAGGGTATGATGTCAATACACCAGCAAAACCTCCATATTCTAGCTGCTCACCTCAAAACCTCCGATAATGACTAGAGCATGAATGTTGAACTTAGTGATGGTCAGACTGATCTCCTCCATGAACTCATGTGGCAGGGATCTTCATAAAAGGGGAAAAAAATCATAGTAGATTACACCTGCCCCATGTTAAGTTGAAATCAACACTGCCAGTACAACTCATTGTACATTTAAAAACATTGAAACATGTGCCATCATTGCTGCACCAAATGGTCTGTTGAAGCATCTCACCTCTTAGTTCCCAGTATGGAGCCCCCTTTTCCAGTCCAGCCTGCCACTCCAGACCAACCAATGGGCTCAATCTGTGCAGAGACAGAGTGTGTGCTTTATCAGCCTCTTTCATTTATGTAGGCTACACACTGACAAGGGTAAAGCTGATTCACTGCCATGATAGTAAAAGCTTTCTTGTTTGATTTTTGTCTGTAACTAGAATTTACCAGTCCATGAGCCAAGCCGTCGAAACCGTCATGCACTGCCAACATCTGGTGGCCCTGGAGAAGCCCGATCCTGACAGCTGAACGGACGGCAGCATTCATCCCAGCACACGGAGCTCCCACATTAATTATGGCAATGTTGATATTACTCTGGCATGGGCAAGAGACATTTGTCAGAACAAATGTATTTTCCACAGAGACTTAATGAATGAGAGTCAGTTAATGTACACACTACAACTGTAGTTCCTGACCTTTGTATCTGGGGGGCGCACATGAGCCAGCATTTTGTAAGTGTTCCAGTTGTTCTCAAAGCTCCTATTGTCAAAAATTAGCAGAAATGTACAGACATTTGAAACTCAATACAACACTTGAGAATTCTGAATGGATAACATGAAAGTGCATGCCTCACTTTCCCCTGAGCTTCACAGCATCGTCAAACCTCCCTTCGGCCATGGCTGTGGTGACATCTTTAGTCTGATGTGGAAGAAGATGAAAAGGCAAAGAGGCAACTGAGAATTTAATCAGAAAATTAAGCAAAATATTGAACACATAGCTTTTTAGCACTCGTTTCATTCACTTTATATAAACTAAAGAATTATGATTTGTTTTGTATACACTATACAGTACGGAAAATATTTGACTCACCACTTGGACACACTCCATGAGAGGCAGCCTAACGGCCAAATTACCAGACAAGCTGACCACACAAGCAGGTGTTTCTGGTGTGGCCTCCAGCAGAGCCATCACAGCCTCTACACCCATCCTGCTCGCCTGAATCATGATATGAGAGAGCAGGCAGGTGTTCAGAGAAGCTGATACATGTGTGTTTATTCACTTTGCTGAACAGAGGTTGGAACAATCGGTGATTATTTTAAAAGTTCACATATGAGGAAAATGAATTATTACCAGGATCCTGTCAAAGGCGGAGGGAGTTCCACCTCTCTGTACATGGCCCAAGATGGTGGTGCGAGTGTCGAAGCCTAGTTTCTTTGATATCAGCTGGACAGACAGATAATATATGAGCAGTTTGCCTAACATTACTAGAGCCTATTTATCTATGCTGGTTTTGTTGGAGTACTCTCATTACTGACCTGTTTGACATTGTCACAGGTGATAGGTTTACCAGTGCGGTCCATCGCTCCCTCTGCAACAATGATAATATTCAGACGGGAGCCACGACCTCTTTGCTGAGAGGGACAGAGAAAAGCTTTAAGATCAACAAGTGGATTTTTTAAAAGTGAGATTCAAATCTAAACTAGTCATGGAAGACGATGGGGGACAAGACATGCACCTCTGTCAGTCTTCTGCACAGATGCTCCTCCCATCCATCTTCTGGGGGCATCTCTGGGATGAACACCCAGTCAGCACCACAGGCCAGAGCTGTCACTAAAGCCAGGTAACTGTTGGAAAAAGTAATACCTGCTAAACAACAGCATGTTAGCATCGTCCTTATGAGCATGCTGATGTTAGCATTTAGCTCAAAGCATCGCTGTGTCCAAGTACAGCCTCACCGAGCTGCTAGCATGACCGCCTTTGACTGATGACTTTTACTTACAATTTCAGTGTAGTAGGTTAAGATTTACTATTTCATCCTTAGAAAGTTAATATTATTTTATGTAATGCATAACCAGCAGTTTACACATTTAGCCACTGTACTGTAGGCACAACTACCCAGTTACTGTGCCATATTTTGTGACTCCACATAAACAACTTGTATGTACTCACCCACAGTGCCTGCCCATTACCTCCAGGATGAAAGTCCTCTGGTGACTGCGGAATGACACGTTTTAAGTTAACAGTCTTTAAATGATTTAGCGGTTTTGTCCCTCATACCTTCATCTGAATTTATTAAACGTATACCTCTGTGCTGTGGTGGTGATGGCATCCACTATCTCTATGATGCGATGCAGGGCAGAGTCTGTGCCAATGGTCATGTCAGTGCCACAGAAGTCATTGTCAATGGAGCCCACCATGCCAACGATATTGAGGTGAGAGGAACACTTGGCCTCATTGGCTGTAATCTTACCTGAGAAAAGATTAAAATGGCAGCAGTCTCAGACACACCATTTCACCAAGATCGTTAAATAAGTGCAGTAAATTGTACCATAACATTATTGTGGGATAGCAGGAGTATATAAGAGTCATTTCACATGTGGGTTGTGTTGTTTAGAACAGTGTGTTTTATGGCCATGACTCTCACCAGTTTTAACCAGTTCTACCAGCAGCTCACTCCACTCTGTTCTGAACTGGTTAGCACCGGTCAGACTGCCATCGCCTCCAATCACACACAGGTTGGTGATGCCCAGCTTGACTAAGTTTAAGGCAGCCTTGGTGCGTCCCTCCTTGGTGCGGAAATCCTGGCAGCGAGCACTACCAATCACAGTACCACCCTGATGTCAGGCAAGGGGGGAGACAAGAATCACTAGGACGGATAAGGAGGGGGGTAAGATCATCTGAAACCTTAGCACTCATGTCAAAGGTCCAACAAGTCTTGCTATTTAATGAACCTTGGCATTTAGATGACCATTTGACCTATGGAACTGTCCAGTGGAGGCTAAAGAGTTGCCAGAGTTACACACATCCTCCATCCCACTCACAAAAAGAGGCTTAGCTGTGACTGTGAAAGGGTAGACGTAACAAACATGCAGGTAAATATGCGTTTACTTCCTCATGCTTGTTCTCACCAGCTGCAGCATCATTGACACACTCTCCCAAGTAGCAGGGCGGATATTGTCACCTCCATCCACCAGACCCTGGTAACCCTGTGAACAAACAAACACACAACACAATATCACCTCCTTGGAAAGGGCTCATTGCTGGGAAGAAGGCATATTTTTACTCTGGCATGTGCTGCTATTTCAGTCCAACAAGTGTTTTGTTTATTATAGTGGTATTTGCTGGTGTTAGGCAATTGAATAATGAATGATTCATCAATGTAAAGTAAATTAACTGTTTAAGAAATTTCTCAAGCAAAAAGGCCAAACATTTACTGGTACCAGCTTCTCAGTTCTGATCATTTGTGGTTCATATCATTGTAAATGAAATAACTGTTTTGCTTTGGACTGATAAACAGACAAATATGAACAATTTGAAAATAGTACTAGCGTTTTTCACAACCTGTATTTGTTTGATATTGTACACATTAAAAGATGAATAAGATTAAAAAAGCAGTATTCACCTCATAGACAAAATACACCTTGGCTCCTGTGTAAAGTCCAACTCGAACTGTGGCCCTTACAGCTGCATTCATACCTGTGGGCACAATGTGTGTGCATATTAGCTTGTATGAAAACCTTGCGATTGCTCTCACACACAGGTGGAAACAATGACTGAATGGAATAATGGGAAAATGATGGTGGGAAAAAATACAGTTATTATTGTGACTGTAATTTAGTAGTTTATGCTCTATATTTGGTTACTATTTTTTTTTTTGTCAAATGTATATTTTATGTATATTTGTAAATGTATATAGTAGAAACATGTTAGCATGGTAGTTTGAATGGGATATTTTGATAGTTCTTCTTAGCCTCCAATTTGCTTAATGACATGTTGAATTGATGTTGGATGACTCATGCTCATTGACTAATATTAGCATTTCTTACTTTAGACTTTACCTTAACCTGCTGCTGCTGCGGCTGCTGAACACCAGATGGGTGCAACAACAACATAAGCTTAAAGCAAAGACAGATGATAAAACCATATTATAGTTCCATTTTATTCGACTGTAATGTCAATGTTAGTCACAGTTGGATTTTCAGGGATAAAGCAAAGCTTGTAGTGCAGGAAAGGCCTCTGCCTGTTTTCTGAACACTGTGGGGGTTGCTTAAAGGACAAGATGTGGATAGATTAACTTTAGAGGCGCCAAGAGCATCTCCACTTACAGTGTAAAGGAGGAGAAGAGAGAAAGGTAGAATAGGACGGCCCTCTGACTCACTACCTCACCACTTTACAAACACATGACAGAAAGGTCATGCCTCTAAAATTAGCCCTCACAACAGATACAGTGTTGGAGAGACACGAGGAAGGAAAGGAGGTAGAAAGTTGGACTAAAGCATATGAGGATGACTAAGAAGGTAAGCCTGTAATGAGGATTATGAGTGAGAAAGAAGAATGGTGAGTTTTGCAGTTTTGAATTTACACACTTCTGCTAAGGTCTTATAAAGTTCAGTAAGGTAAAACAGGCATGGGTAGTCTCACACACTCACACTACAGCGTTGCGTGGGGTCACTGACACACTTCCTAAAGGTCACAGTGAAGATATTCCTCATCAAGCTAAAGGTCAGAGGAGCATCTGTCTCACTCTGTGGTCCTATAGCAGCTTTGAACTACAGAGTTCAGGCTGCCCTTTTCCACAAGTTATGCTATGAGAAAAGCTATGAGAGAGATAGCTAGATAACTGTTCTAGTAGAGAAATCATTAAAGTGTTATCATCAGTAATGAAATATTATGAGATGGTATAAAAGGAAGATGCTGTCATGAATGTGGCAAGAAAGGTCTAGACTTTTTATTTATTTATTTTTTTTTAAAAATCTGTTAAAACATAAAACTGTTAGTACAGATTGTGTAATACTTAGAAACAATTTTAAGCTGTTAATAATGTCAAAAGGCAAATGATACACCCACAGTGGATCTCTGTGTAAGCTACAGTGCGTGTCTAAAGCAACCACTAACTATTCAAGAGGCATCAAAATTTGGACTCTTAATAGGTATTTGATTCATTTTACATTTCAGATACATCTTTATTTGTCATTTAACCTTGTCATGGGTTCACTAATTGCTGACTCCCCACTCATCAGATCCTCTCAACCACCTGCTGAGGCAAACAAGCAGCAGACATGTCCAGCCTTGGCACTCCACACTCACATACCACCCTGGAAATCCTCCACTTACCCTGGGCATCGCCTCCCGAGGTTAGCACAGCAATTGCCCGACCCTCTCCCATCGTGGTGTGGCTGATGGTGGCCATTTGTGCTATGGTCCTGGAGCTGAAGCTGCCTGAGAGAAAGAGGCCTTGAGTGAAAAATCCCTGCTACCCTGCTTTACTGTGTGGAGCACAAGTAGCCTCTCACCTCTAACTCAGCCTGCCTGTAATGGAAAGTAATAGCAGTTGCAAGGGTGCACAGATTAACTCCCCGCTTGGCAGACAACGAGGCACACATAGTTGTCCAAACACATTTAGATGCACACACACACACGCACTCAGTGCCTATTAAAAGTATTCAACTCCCGTCATCTTCCACCCAGTTTATAGTTTTGCACATTTTATTCTGTTACAACACTGAATCACAGTGGATGTACTTTTTTCACATTTATCAGCACAAAAATACACAAGTGAAATCTCACAAATACAAATATATTCAAACTGATCTAAATTAATTTTAATACACGAAGTAACTGGCTGCATCACTTTGCACACCTGGAAATTTTTTTCCAATTTTTAGTAAAACTGCCTCAGCTCTGTCAGGTTGCATGGAGACTGACTGAACAGCATTTTCTTTTTAAACTTTGGCCATAAATTATGGATTGGTTCCAGATTGAAGGCTGGACCCTGACCACTCTAGGACATTCATATGGTTGTTTTCATGCTGTCCCTGTTTAGCTTAACCTTTACTGCATGTGTGGGGTCTCTGTCTTGGTGTAAAATACATTTTAGAGGACTTCTCTTGCAAACTGCAGCAGGTGCATTTTTTTTTAAATAACCAATATTTCTCTGTAGTTATTCATGTTATAGTTTTGGCCGAATATCGACATTTGTCACACAGGTGGCCTCAGTTCAAGGTGGTGTGTCTGTGAATGTGGTGGACCCCGAGGAACCAGGGCTTTGGAGTTTATGTATAAAAAAAAACACAAACACTGATCACACCAGTGGCTTAGATGTTTTTAATGAAGGGTGTGATTAGTTGATATTCATTGTTACATTATTCCATTAAATTTGTTGTATGTTTTATATCTTCACTTAATTAAGTTCCATTTGTTTTATGTTTTAACATTAAAGTATGTTTTGTTGTTGATGAGCATCCACTGTGATTCAGGGTTGTGGCTATCATATCCCTATTTACTGTATATTAGACAGCAAAACCTACAGGTACAAATCAAATCTGTACAGCAGCAGATATAGATGTGCCTTCTGTCACCTTTATTCAGTACATAATGATGAGGATCATCTATGAAACCAAGTCCTATAGGTCCTCATTTACCGCTATCTTAATAGGAGCTCTCTATAAATTCAAACTGATAATGACAGTCCTTTGATTGCAGACTGGCTTACCAGCATGCCCTGCTGGGTCAGAGCTCGAGGACGTCTTGCTTTCACATTCAGATGCTGAGAGGTCATCACCACCTGAGGAGGGAGAATGATAGCACATTACCCAAGCTGTGATCCAGCTGTACTGTGTTTTACTTTACAGCTAAATCATCAGCTGTTGTTGTAGCAAACAAGCTCCGTAATTCACTCCAGTGTACAAGGCAAATTATCACTCACATGATAGACCCTTTCTACAGAAGACAAGCCGCTCAAGCACCGTCTATCTGTACATTGCAGGTTAGTTTACTCCCTCTGGCCTTATCTTGTCTTTTGCTATGAGCTGTAGCTGATAGACTGGTGACTGAGGCAAAAACACATACATGTAATTTGCACAAATTACTTTATCAAGAAAAAGAAATAGCGTACTCTGAATTCAGCAAATCCGATATATGCAGTTCAGTACACACCAATGTCATATTTCTTGCAAGTAGATAAAACTAGTAACTATTGAGTAGTATTAATTGATGGACCCCACTCATAAAGTCCATAATTCTCATTTCCATTTTTTTCATTTTTGTTTGAAGAAATTCAAACCCCACAAGCCCTCTTGACACAAAATGTAAGTTATCTCTCATTTTTAATTGTCTCCTCTTCCACTTGCAAACACATTATATCTCATCAGTCTGCTGTTCATGTCTAGAATTAAGAATCAGATGAGTAGATACAACAGGGTACTACACCTAGATGTGGTGTGTGTGTGTGTGTGTGTGTGTGTGTGTGTGTGTGTGTGTGTGTGTGTGTGTATGTGTGTATGTGTGTGTGTGTCTAGAGGGGTTTTGTGAATATTAAACTCTTTGTTCAATCACTGCCAACACAGCTGACTTAATTTAAGTACCAAAATTGCAGCCATGCTTGTATTTTCTCTGCATATTGAGTTAGAATTACAACAGGCATGTGAAGCAACAAAATGTCTTGAGTTCAATATTAATAGAACATTTGTGATGGATATTGATGGCTGTAGAAGTTGATGACAGATGAAAAGGAGAGAATCAGTGTGACAGTAGAGAGAGTCGGAGGCTCGTCTCTTGAAGGCAGCTCATTGGAGTTGTCTTTAAATAGATTCTGGTTGTCTGAATGCAGACACAGACCTGCTATCTATAAAACACACAGAAACCCCTCCCCTTCTTCACCGCCATTACTGTGAAACTGCACAGTCATCCCTACAACTGAACACGTCAAAACATGTCATGCTTGTGTATTTATTACCTGGAAAAAAATGTACGTGACAATTTACAATCTATTACATGTCAAAAGTTTCCAAAGGCAATGGTCAGGAAAATGCAATGTGTGGACCAATCCTCTATTAACATTTAACATTTAAAAAAATTAAAATCAAAAAGTGTGCTGTCTGAAACAGAGACAGAAAGAAGAGGCCCATCACAAACACACAAATACACAAATATCCACACCGTATGCATACCTTGACCTTTCTTTCTGAGCCAGAGCAGCAGACAGGCCAACAGCGCAACAGAGAGAAAACACTGGGCTGAGAGGACGGCCGGGTACCACATCCTCATGCTCTTGTTGGGGAACTATCCTACATCTCATCTGTATTAATAGCTTTGATACCACTCCTTCATTGTGGAGTAATGACCTTCATTGCTGATACATGGCAGGTAATCAGATACAATGTTTTTGTGCATAGACAAAATGAATGATTTAGGTTTCAAAGAGGTAGGTATTCATCTACCCAAAAAATGAGGAAATACATAGCACAAGTGAATATCGATTAAATTGGACCCTAATCTATACATCCAGAAAATAATGCATGTAAAACATACAAATCAAAAATACACTCAAACCAGCTTGGCTGTTTAATTCATGAAAGTTGCCTATAGCTAAAGGCAAACATTAAAGTGAAAGAAGAGAACTATGAGACAGATATAGGTTATTTCTATGACCATGGTGCGTTATTTTAATGAATAAATATTTAATGTCAAAGTTCAAGTTGATTTATTTCCATAGTCTTTTATTACAGTGATTTCTACCAGGACTTTAAACAGAAAAACCTACCTATGTCTGACTAAATACAGATTAATCAGTTTATAATCACTTGTAATTCATGTTTTCAGGTAGAGGATATGGGACAGTATAGCTGTGCTGTGAGAGATAAAATGGGGACATTGTTTTGAAGCCACTCTTGATTAGCGCTGCAGCCACTCAGCAGACGGCGAGCTATGCCGCAACATGGCCGTGACACTGGAATGACTTTCATGCCAGAGCAGATTGAGATTGTAATAATAGTGACACACGTGCAGCCTGCACACACACACACACACACACACACACACACACACACACACACACACACACACACACACACACACACACACAGTATATTCTTTCGTGAGGACCCTCATTGACAGAATGCATAGTGTCCCACCGTACCCTAACTTTAACCAAAGCCTAACTCTCAAACCACATTTTAAAAATAAAAAAAAGGCTTCACCGGCCAAAATGTCCTTGCTTTTCAAAAATGTTTTCACTTTAAGACCTTGAACTCAAATCAGTCCTCACAGTGATAGAAGCAGGAGTACAAGAGCACAAACATACACAAACAAGCACATCATGATAAAGGTAAAGACGCCTTAAATAAAATTACTGCTGATATGATTCATCAGCTCATGTCGTCTGTGAAGGTCATGACTCCACAGCCCCTCCTTTAACACCAGCAAAATGATCTCTAAAGCCGCTACATCTCTGTGTACAAAAGGCAGCTTGTCATAAACACACGTCTCAGGTGGTGTTTGTGCAGATTCTCTTCAGCACTGTGTATCCGCGGTGGGTTGAGCAACGAGGATCTCTCTCCTGAGGCAAACCCCCGATCAATAGCACCATTTCCAGGTAATCCCCCCTCCTGTCTTCCCGGACAGTGCTAACACTCGCACAGCCTGTAATAAACCATATGGATCAATATGACACCGGTTCAACACAAAACACTTCCACCTCAGCTAATGCAGTGAAATGTGGACTGGATATTGTTACAATCTGACCCCTCACCTTCTCCAATTATCTGAAATATACAGTCAGTGATTAGATCACACTGTGTAAAGGAGAATGGGATTGCTGGGTAATGACATGTAGCCTCATGCAGTAACACAGTTCTCTCTGATTGAAAAATGGTGTTCATATGAGTATATGTAATTTCAATTTGCATACAGAAACTGGTCTGACATTTAGAAATACAGGGCTACATGTTTAACAATAGATTACAGAACCTGTTTTCTAATGCTTACTACAACTGTTTCTTAATGTCCTTTCTTTCCTACTCTCTTTTCAACACTCTCTCGCTTGTCTGTATGGAACAATATGTTACAACGACAGTCAATATGTTCACCAGGTGTTGCTAACATGTGTTTATTACAAATATTCTCACACCTCAGTAGAGCCACAGACTGTAGATGCAACAGGTAGCTGCGACCGAGCATCTTGGTCGCTACGTCAAACCAACAAGGAATAAGACAGTGATCATATTCCCAAATTCAGTCTTGCTCCTCTGTGTTTTAACCACAATGATTATTGATTAATGGATTAGTCAATTGTTTCTAGTGATCAATGACTTGTTTAAGTAATTTTTAATGCAAAGACTCCGACAAAATCACTGGTTCCAGCTTCCCAAATTGAATATTAACTGGATTTTTTAAAATTTTCTACGGCAGTATACTGGATACTTTGGTGTTTAGACCATTTGTCCACTTGGGCTGAAGGAAATAGGCTTGTGACAGGAATTTTTTTGACATTCTATAGATGTTACGATTAATGAATTGATGGAGAAAATAATCCGCAGATTAATCAGCGCTGAAACTAATCTTTAGTCCCAGCTCTACTCTGTGTCATCCTCCTGTCACCTACCTCTCCTGTTTGTCTCCTCGTTGAATCACATAACAAACCAAAAATGTTATAAATATGATTAATATTCAATATTACCAAATCCTGCAAGGCAAAATAAAATGATTTGAGATGGTATGTGAAATGGTCTATGGCAAAATTACAAATGTGAAATGAAGTTTTGGCTGAAAATCTATTATGCTAAAATGATAAAAATGCACAGTTTTATACACTGACCTGGCATTGCTGACATGAGATTAAACCACTCTGTTACGAAGCAACCAGAATTTCTTTTAAAAAAAAAAAGTGATTTTTAATGTGAATTCTTCTCTACGTCAGTATAAACTCTGCTCTCCCTTGCTCTCTGTGCTTTAAAAACAGGTTGAAACCTCTGACTGAGCTCCCTCCAGCTCACTGTCAGCCAACAGGTGGCAGCAGCATCTGATCTTTCCGAATCCCCGTGTTTATCAGAGCTGGAGAAGCACATGCAAAGCCTCGGCCTAATAAATCATGCACTGAAAGTGTCAGTGCAAATTTTGTTAGATTTTATTGCAGTTTAATCAGCTCAATGAATGTTTTAATAGGCTGATATTTCAGAGAGCGAATGGCAATGCAGTGATAAATTGTGTGGGGTGAGCTGGGCCCCCTCCCTTACCTCTCCCCCCTTCTCTCGCCTTTTCACTGCAGAGAATCACTAATGTAGACCCGCACAACTATTTGTCCACTTATTGTTGCAAGGGTATAGGTTCCT